TCAGAACATAAAAAAGAAAAAAAATCTTAGCTGAACTTACAGTCTATTTTAAGTTATTATACAAATCACGCAAACCCTAATAACTTGGATTTGCTTTGAACAATTTTTGTCAAATTTTAAATGATTAATTTCTGACGTCAAAACAAATCTTGAATTAAAACATGTTGAAACAACCTATAGATTTTTTTTAATGTTATTAATTTCTGCAAAAAGGCTGACACAAATAATCATATTTGGGGCAGACATTTACAAAGCAGAAGCTAGAGGGGGTATCTTTATCTTGTGAAGAATCACTCTTGTTGAAAAATTGCTTGATGGGCCTTAGTTTTATCATCTTTTTCTTTTTCTCATGTCCTGTGTGAATCTGAAGCAAAACTTCCCATACTACCAATATCAATCTTTTTTTTTTTTTTTTTACAAAGTCTGCATCTAGCAATACTGGTGATGGATGCTTTCATAATCCATAACTTGTACAAATCACTTGTCAACAATTTGTCTTGAAAGGTACTGTAGTAGATTACTTTATCAGAACTTTGGGAATAAAACAAATTGACTAAAGTGCATAAAATAAATAATATATTTTTATTTATTTGCTTTTGAAGGAGTCTTTGATATTCAGTATCACAAAATGTTTGTTTATAAGACGGATATTGGTAGTAGCTTGGAAGTCAGACCATGTTAGGGATAGTAGTAATATTAGAAATAGGTCAGTGTCAATCTACTGTGTTTTTCTCAGCCCTAAGCAGGGCAGAAATATCATTAGTAGATCTTAACTACTTTTTCATACGTCATTCATGACTGCGTTCTTTTTTCTGTCCTCTCCTGCTGTCTGTCCTTCTTCTAGCAGAGAGGTATCAGCTTATATCCTTTTGACCAGACTCCAAGATTCTGGCAGGAACCTTGGTTTCAGCTAACATCAAAAATCTCTTTGTGTTAATTTTTTGATTGGCCAAAATTATTATATATATATATATATATATATATATATATATATATATATATATATATATATAATGGAAGCTATTCAGTCACAAATAACTAGGCTCTGGACCCATAAACTTCCTTTTTTTCAGCCAGATTCAATTTTTTCATCTTCCTCTTTTTATTTGAAGTTTGCCTTCTCGTAGTTTGATAGTAGTACAGAAAAGGAAGTTCAAAGAGAGAAAGAAAGAGATAAAAAGGTTGTAAAGGAATGTACAAATGCCTTATTTTAATTAGAATTCTTTTTATTTTTGTTTATATATTTTTATCAGGACTTACTACAGGACTTTTAGAATGCATCTTTTGATAGCATAGATTCATTCATTTTTTACAGCTTACCAACACCCTGCAGAAACTATTTTTAGACTGTAAGACTTTTTTTTTATATAACAATAATTTAGTGATACAAAGTCTTACTAATTAACCCATAGCTGTGGAGAAAAGAGGTGCAAACATACTTTTCCTAAGCATATTTGCACTTAAGTGAATATAACAAACCCAATGGGAATTAGAACTTGACTCATTGATTAATAATTCCAAGCCATTATACATTACCCCACTCACATATCGAAGCTTACAGTACCTGGTATTCCCAGTAACCCCTTGTGTCTTAGTGGCTTTACTGCTTTGCTTGTGGAACTCATTAAATCATTTTACATTCACCTATTTTATCACCTCTGTAATACAAATGTTATTTTAACATATTATTATTATCATTATTCTATGTGCTGTATCCCTTCATGATGTGGACAATCATGGCTTTCCACAACTTCTTATCCTTTGTAACTAAGGTTTGTTTGTTTTTCACTATTCCTCCCAATCCCTGTTCTACTATCCATTTATACAACTGTCTCAATAAAAATCACCAAAGAGAAACCACTGTGTTATCAATCTTAAAATCAATCATGGCTACCCACGAGGTTAAGATCAGAAATAACAATTAATCAATGTTACCAGTCCGAACATTAGTTAGAAAACATAAAGCAAGAAATGAATATTCTAAATATTAATATTCTTGTAATATGTGAGATTAAGTGTACAAACAGTGGAGATTTGATAGTGGGGTTAATCTTTTAAGGTTGAAATAACACTTAGGTCAAATATTTGACAACTCTTGCTCCATCAAAAAATTTCTCAGCACATTTTTTTTTTGAATAGACAGTTCAAAACCAATTTTTCACTGGAAACTTTTGTGCATACCTAATACTTTAAAATTCAATTAAAAACTTGGATAAATGTTATAATATACATATTATATTAAATGTTTGTTAATGAAGACAAATTAAAAGGACTATATCAAATAAGTATAAAAAATTTATAAAAGAAAATTTTATAAAAAAAATGTATCCAATCATTATTTTCAATAGCATTTTAGTTGACATGACCAGATTCCTAGTCAATATCATCAACTGATTAGCAGGGAAGTCCTCATCCTCTTTTAAAAACTCAGAATAGTTTGTGGAATCAATTCAAAGGGTTCTCATCCATAGCAATCAGATGGTAAGCTTGGATGTAATGAGTGTTCATCAGAGTTCCTATGGTAGAGATTCTGTTGATAATGCGAAACAGATTGAATCAGACCACTCCCTTGAAGAATGTATCATACTAGCATTCTAATACATAACCTGATGGAAATGTTGACATTCTGTGTACAGACAACATTCTTCTGACTAGTATCTGACATATGCCATCAGGAGGAAGGCTTAGCTATGGTTTTACCACTGTCATCAGTAATGGTGAACATACACATGGAATATTTTGTGAAAATGGTTTTAGGAATGACACCCCTGAAGCCAACAGTATGGCCAAGATATATAGATGATACCATCAGGGATGAGTTTAGCCTAAAATTACCTTGGTGGACCCCTTAAAAATGAGGGCACAGCAGCAATGACAGAGGGCACTGTGGCAATTTTTTTTAAATTTGCAATTTTTTATTTGTAAAAAGTAATATTAACATAAAATCTTCAAAAAATTGATAAAAATAAACAAAAAGCTTTAAAATCAAATATTTTTACTGACAAATAACAGATTCTAATGACTAGAATTATTAGCAATGATGCATTGCAGTGGAATATTTTCTAAAAAGAAATCAAACATTTCAACATTATTAGCTTAAAAAATGTTGTGGAAAGAACGAGATTGTTGTATTAGTGTATAAAAATATAAAGTTTTTTTCAGCATAAAATCAAAATAACTATTGGAACAAAAAAAATATGTACAGTAAATAATGTCAAAACAATGCTTTACTTTCTGACATGAATATTAATTAGTAATTTCTTATAGATAAAAATATTTTCACAACTAATTTTTATTGCCTAGCATCCAGAAGAACTTCCTCTACTCAGGTAATTTGTCAGAATCAAAAAACATTAATTTTCTATTTTTTTTTTTTTTTTAGATGGGGGTGGGGGTACTGTTTACAATATAAATACAACGTCAAACTGATCCCTGACTTTTTGACATATAAGTACTTTCTTTCCTTTTTGAGGTGACCAGTCAATTTAGGTATTGGTGTTTTAAAATGAAATGTATTATTACTATGTAATGTGCATACATATGATGTTCATTTCATTTCCGGTAGACATAAATGTTGCAAGATTGAAATAGACCTATAACATTTGTTGAAATTCCTTTCATTTAACTCTTTTCTTTGAAAATATATCTGCAGAGGGCTCTAGTCAAATTTTTTCTTGAAAAACCCCCTGACCACCCCATTAAGAAAAATGTAACATTTTTTCATTCTTTATTTTGAAAAAGTAATTTTTTTTTTTTTTGAAGTTGAAGGCAAAAATTGCTGTGGATGTGGCTCGTTTCTTTTTTTTTTCTTTTATGGACACCGTGGCATTTTGCCATGGTGCCACAGTCTAAACTCACCAATGCACCTTCATAGTCAAATACTGCTGGACGATGTGAACTCAACAGACATCCGATTCAGTTCACAATGGAAGAAGAAAATAATCAGATAGCCTTCTTGGATGTACTAATAACTTGAACAGAGAATGAGTTCAAGACATCTGTATATCACAAGCCAACCTTCACTGGACAATAGCTCAACTTACATTCCCACCATTCATACAGTGTAACAAAAAGAATCATGTGATACCTACAACACTGAACAGAAAGTGGTAACCTATACACATACCAAAACGGAATGATCAATATGAAATGTACCCTTCAAAGTAACAACTACCCTGCAAACATAACATCCATGTCAGCAGGTAGAAACAGAAGGGTCATGTAAGAGGACCAGAAAACTGCCACAGTCAGTCTTCCTTACATCAAGGGCTTATCAAAAAAAAAGATTCAGAAAATCTGTGATCCATAAAACATGAGGACAATATTTAGAAGCAACTCTACCCTATGGAGAAACCTAACAGAGGAGAACATGACCAAGGACTATTTGTATTCCATCCCTTGTAATTATGACAAGAATATAATCATGAAACTTTACTGCCTCCTAACAGTAAGGCTGGAAGAACATCAAAAAACCATAATTAAGGGTGAGACAATGAAATCACGAATTGCTGATCATGTATGGAGTGAAAAGTGTAGTCATCAACCTCTGTGAAATAAAGTGAAATTACTGGACAGGGAAAAACACTAGTGAATTTGATATTTGAAAGTGCATATGCTAAGCTATGAGGATATCCTTAATAGGCTTAGAATAGAAATAAATACAATATAGGCGCCATTAACAAAAGGAGAGAAATAACAAGCAACATGAGGACAATAGTCCACATGTCAATAATAACTCCTCATAAATTAACTAAAGAAAGCATTTCTCCATGTCCTTTCAAAATATAAGTAATCATGGCTCTCCACATTTTCCTTTTCTTTAACAACTGTACTTGGAAAAATAGAATTGTTTTCTATTATAGTTTCCATGGTTTTGAATTAAGAGCTGACTTTCTCCTAGACTGGCTGCCAACCAAGGTTTGAGAGCCCACTCTAACCTGCTTTTTAACCGATAGCTGGGAAAGAAACAATTTACCTGAGCAAAACAACAAGCCCTCTTCTTATTTCTTCTCCTCATCTTCAAACATTTCTTGCATTTTCTTTTTATACCTAAACAGGCAAAGAAAACGAAGTTTTCATAAAGGTTTGAAAACAAAAGTGTTATATGAAATATCTTTGGGCATAACTGATCACGTCAAAATAATCATCAAATAAAAAAACATTTATGCTATTTACACTGTTCGAATTATTATCCTTATCTTTGTTGCCATATTCACGTTTCTGTCGTTGTACACTCTGGCCTTCTTCAGGTGATTGGAATTTTGGACTGAACACTTTATTTCATCCACCAAGTTAGGTATTTCTAGTTCCACATGCCATGCCTCTTACAGATGTCTTATTGTGAGTTCAATATCTGGCTACAGCTGAGGCAAAGAAAAATCATGTGAGTTAAGTTAAAGGGAGATAACTGATACAGAGATATCTGAAAGAGGCATGGCATGTGGAACTAGAACAATCTACAAGGTTTAGTTTGAAATTCCAATCACTTGAAGAAGGTCAGAGTGTACAATGGCTGAAAAGTTGTGAATATGGCAATAAAGATGAGGACAACAGTCCAAACAATGTAAATAGTTACAATACCTCATCTGAGAAATAGAGACTGATGTTGAAGGTGAATATGGCAATAAAGATGAGGACAACAGTCTGAACAATGTAAATAGTGTAAATAATTACACTACCTCATCTCAGAAATAGACACAGATTATCTTTTGAATATGGAAAAAAAAAAAAAAAAAAAAGCTGAAAAATTCAAAAGCAAACGACATTTCACTTTTTCACTTATTTCAAACTATTTGAAAATTATTACCAAAAGATAATTACATTTCACTGTCTGGATTATTCTCTTGATTCCGGCATTTCTCAAGTTTCTTCTCCAACTGTCGAATATGTTCCCGCTTGAGTCCTTCTTGTTTGTTTACCATCACCTGGGCCACTATAATGACAAAAAACAGAAATTCAGATTATAGCAATTTTATTCAAAATTTTTAAAATACATTTAAACATTTTTCATTTATGAAAATCTTTAAAGATTTTCACTATTTTTGCAAAACAATCAAAGGAAGATCAAGGAATTTTGCTTATAAACAAAGCAAAATGATGCAGTTAACAAAAGAAAATAATCATTTAACATCTAAGTGTAAATGAATATCAATTTCTGACACATTATTGTGGGAGGTGGATATAGTGAATTATGTTCTTGAAATAATTTTTCTGTTTGTGCTCAAAGTCTAGAAAAAATTCACAAATATTCAGAATAATATTGGAAATGGATTTTCAGCAAAAAGGGAAATGTTTTCATTAATATTTTGAAAAAAACTTACAAATTTCAAAGGGACCAACTGTGCAATCAAAACTGATCACATCAACTCCTTTATGGTATAAGAAACAAAAGAGTACTCAATTTCTTCAACTGGCCCATGGAGACTTTTCATATCCTCAAACCGGTCTGTGTCGGAGGCTTTTCGTATCCTCAAACCGGTCTGTGTCGGAGGCTTTTCGTATCCTCAAACTGGTCTACATCGGAGGCTTTTCATTTCCTCAACCAGCCTGCATCAGAGGCTTTTCTCTTCCTTTTTATTCTCTTTAAAATCACATTTTTATTTGTGCATTCTTTAGGTTACTGGCAAATGTCAAGCAAATTTCTTCTAATGAAATTGAAAGAAAAACCATTCAAATATACTGATCAAAATAGTATCAGAAAGCAAGAAATAGATACCATATTTCTCAGTGCCATTTGTTAACTGTGGTAGGAAATGACATGCAAACATTAATGTCTCCAAAATGAAACTGCTGTCTTTTAGACTTCTTAGAGAACCATTTTTACTTCCATCAATATGGATGATGCTAACCTCTAAGAGAGCAACTCATTGCACCTTCTCAGTCTCCTGTTTACCACTAACATGAAATGGAATGATTATATTGAATCAATTGCTAGGTTTTCTGCTAGGAAAGTTGGTTCACTGTGTTGTATGAGATAATTTCTCTTGCAAGAAATACATCTTGCAGGTTTCTAAATCTGCCATTTGTTCATGCATTGAATATTACTGCCACATCCAGTTTGGCACTCCTGCTATATATCTAGAAATTTTTGACAAAATGCAAAGAAGAGTCTGCAGTGTTATTGGTCCTGATCTGACATCTCAACTTCGATCACTTTCCCACTGGCGTAACATAGTTGTCTATACCTTTTCTTTAATTTTCATTACAATTGTTCTAATGAGCTCTCCTCTATGGTACCTCAACTGCATGAATTTAAGCATAGTACTAGACTGATAACTACGTCACTTCGTTTTACTGTTAAAATAGATGTAACTGTTCTATTCGAAATAGTTTCTTTTTTCTTGATTGTGAAACACACTTCCAGCTTCTTGCTTCCCTGTCACCTATGATCTCCAAAAATTTAAATGCAATATCAATCACCATTTTCTCCCTGAACCTCGTTCTTTTATTATCTTTTCTTCTCATTAATGTTTTCTCATTTTTGCTTACCCTTAGTAACCGCTTGCATTTTAGTGGCATTATGGCCTTGTTTCGAGTGAAATGATTAAAAAAAATAAAAAAGTTGCACTTTTTTTACCCCAAAATTTGATATCAAAATCTTCTTGTATCCTATACACTGAAGGTATTATATATATATATATATATCTCTGCACACAGATTAAATATGGATCAGAATCCAACAGAATGATAGATTAATTTCCTATTTTTTCTTTATGCTAACACGTTTCACTTTTATTAAAGCTTAATCAGAGAATTAGATATGAAGAAAAAAGTAATTCTGGTATTTTTTATTTTTGTGTTGTTTGATTTTCATTGCTTAATCAGGCCTTATGTGCATTTGGCTTGTTAAGCAGCGTTAGTATAATTTATAGTGTTCTGAATTCAAGGAGAGACGATACATCCTTTTAAAGCTTTAAAAAAAAAAAAAAAATAATAATAATAATACATTCCCAACTTAACTGAAAAAACAAATATTGCTTTATGTATATAAATGTATCATAATTCTAGTTTGTCTTTGTTGGATTCAGATGATAATGTGTATGTGTATATCTAGTAGACATTATTTATGTTTGCTGGTTGTCCACATGTTGATTTGGGGATGTTTTTATGTAAAAACCAGTTGTGATAGATAAACATACATTAAAATATCAAAACAATTCACTGTCATCTGTTATAAAACAGCCAAAATTTCTGCACCTGCTTGATTTTTATGTTCCCAATGTAAAACTTGCACCTTAGATTGCCTCTTTTGCTGACAACCTTATCTTCATACACTTATTGGTTACTCTTTTCTTCTTGATTTCTCTGAATATTTTGTCTAATAATAAATGAATAGGCAAAAATAGAAAGAGGACTACATGTTGTCTCAGCAGATTTATTTAAGCAAGTTAATTCTAAGAGAACTAGAAGACCTACCAGGGTTTATTATTGGTGGACTTTAACAACATATGCTCTGCACACTGTACTATACTGATAGCCTATTTAGAAGGAGAATTGAAAGAATGATTAGAAGTATTCAGAGAAAGAAAAGAGAAAAGACTAACCATGAGCCGTAAGAAGTTAATGATTAGCAAAAAAGACAATGTGAGTTATACATTGGGAACATAAATAACAAAAAGGTGTAGAAATTTAACTATCCAGGCTGCACAGTAGCCGACGACAGAAAATGTGAAAATGAAATCTGAAGGTACATAGGAATAGCAAAAGATGCCTTTCAGAAATTGAGCAAAGAGGTCAGAAAATGTCCATAGAAACAAAGGAAAGAGTGTTGAACTGATATCTAATACCTTACCTCCTACATGGCACTAGAAGCTAGACAATTTCCTAACAAATGAAAAAAAAACTTATGATGTGGTTCTATTAACAAAAATTGAGAATATTATGGACAGATTATGTGAGATACAAAGTTTTAATGAAATTAAGAAGTACAAAGAAATTCAATATCTGTCTATATTTCTGAGATGAGGTATTTAACTATTTACATTGTTTGAACTGTTGTCCTCATCTTTATTGCCATATTCACAACATTTAGGCCATTGTATTTCAGGATCCGTCTATTTCTGCAAAGTATTATATTGGTATTGTAATTATTTACACCATTTATATTGTTCAAATTGTTGTCCTTATCTTTATTGCCATATTCATGTTTCAGCCATTGTACACTCCGGACTTCTTCAGGATCTGTCAATATTTCTGAGATGAGGTATTGTAACTATTTACACCATTTACATTGTTTGGATTATTGTTCTCAACTTTATTGCCATCTTCACAACATTTGAGTAGAAGTGAACAAAAACTTAAGAGTTGAGCTACTAAAAGGTATTGACTGAAACTGAGATATCCAGAAAAGGCATAGCATGTGGAATTAGAACAATCTACCTTCATCAACTAAATAAAGGGTTTCGTTCGAAATTCCAATGCATATCACCTGAAGAAGACCAGAGCATACAACAGCCAAAATGTCATATGTCAATAAAGATGAGTCCGAACGATGTAAATAATTCCAAGGAAATTGTTACTAATAATCACAAAGACACAACTGAAATTTTGGGCTCTCATATTGAGGAAAGAAGGCTTTGAGGATTTAACACACACAGGGCAAGAAAAGAGGAGGGAAACAGAAAATAATCAACTTGGTGTATTTTAATAAATAGATTGCAGAACAAATATCACAAAGTCAAAAGTGCATGAGTTATTAGAGCAACATAAAGGAAACTGTGGAGAGCCATGATCCCCTATGTCCTAAAAGAACATAGCAATTAAGACAGATTCTTCTGTTTACCATTTGAAAAGTTCAGGAATAAAGAAACTTTTTCATTTTAACACAAGAGAAATATGATAGTCTAGTCATACTTTCATCAAATCTAGACCATGAGCATGAATCAAATTCAGATTACTGACAATTTAATGATGGAGTAATTAGAGAAAGGATATGTATATATAAGAGTAATGATAAGAAAAGACAACATAGCATCACCTTGCTAAGAGTCATACTAACATTTCACTTGCTGCATTGTTCGTTTCTTCAGATCTGGAGTAGCACCTTCCATCAATTGGCCATTGACATAACTAGAAAGGAAAAACAAGAAAAAGACTCATTTGAAAGAAGATCTGAAGAAGGAAGAGAATGGTAGATTGGAAAATAAAATCTACTTTATATTGACATGTCAAAACTCATGGAATAGCAGTATGGAAAGGTAATGGTAGGTGGCACCACCATTACCTTGTTGTCATATAAATACCCAAACTTATACCAGTTGTTATCTGACATCTTGTGAATGTTTAATATTTTTTCAAGATATTAAATGATGAAGATATTGTGTTTAATGCGAGTTGTTTCTTTTGTAAAATGATAGTTTAGAGCAGTGGTTCTTAACTTGGGACCACAATGGCCACAAGTGGATCCAGATAAATTTTATGGGAGCCACAGAAAATTGGCAGGTGGGGCACAAGTTCAATGAAAAGGGCCACTCTCTGCTACAGCCCTATTGCCATCTACATTTTACTACTAACAAAGTAGAATTATATAATTGAGATTATATAATTGAGATATATTTTTGGGCTTTATTTACAAAATTACTTCCATTATTGAATATCTATGCATGTTTACCAATTTACATTTCCCCTTTTATTTCACGGTGCAAGCTGAATTCCTCCTCCCACACACTTTTTTTCTTTTTTTATTGATTTTCATTATTAATTATACTGAGTTGTTAAGAGGAAATACCAGCTCAAGAAATTAAATAAAATAATTATCTTTCCCATTTCGGTATCCCCCCCGCCAAAACCACCAGTACTAGTAAACAGATAAACCTTCACTATTTACATTATTTGGACTAATGTCCCCATCTTTGTTGCCATATTTATTACAACATTTCGGCCGTTGTACACTCCAGCCTTCTTCAGGTGGTTGGAATGTCGAACTGAACCCTTTATTTCGCTTACTGGGGTAGACTGTTCTAGGTTCCATGTGCCATGTTTAATGGATGTCAGTTATCAGTTATCTCCTGTTAATCTGCCTCTCCAAGTTCCTTGAGGACACATGGCACAGTGGATAAAGGTGTTGGTTAGGTCCAGTGACAGGACCCTAAGAGTGTGAGTTCAATACCCGGTTAAGGCAGTGGAGAACTGGAGAGGGGAATTAACAGGAGATAATTCATAACTGACATACATTAAACATGGCACATGGAACTAAAACAGTCTACCCCAGTGAGCGAAATAAAGGGTTCAGTTCAACATTCCAACCACCTGAAGAAGGCCAGAGCGTACAACAGCCAAAACGTTGTAATAAATATGGCGACAAAGATGAGGACACTAGTCCGAATAATGTAAATAGTGTACATAATACCTCATCTCAGAAATATAGACAGATAAACCCTCATCCGGGTGTTCAGATTAAAAACAAGCACACTTTTTTTGCCAAAATAAAAGGTTTGTTTAACTGTTTTGGTTTTTAAAACAAGCAATTTTGAAGTTTATATAGAGAAGTATCAGTGTTTATTTGTTGTGGAGATTGTAAAAGGAGTTGTTGTTAAAGTCAACAGCAGGGGGGGGGGCTTTAAATAAAAATCACAATCAAAAAGGAGGGGGCTATGAATAGAAAAAAAAGTTGAGGACGACTGGATTAGAGTATGGGATAATAGCCTAGTGAATTAAAGCATTAGTTTGTGAATTTAGTGACAATAATTCTGAGTTCAATCCCTGGAATGGGCAGTGTGTACTCCGACACAGTAGAAACAGAGTGAGCAATAACCAAGAGGTACTAAAAATAAGAACTAGATGAGATATCCCTAGATATGGGTAGTGAAATGAGAACAGTCTAAGCCAGTAGATTAAAGAAAGGGCTCAGTTCAGAATTCCCTGCAGGTTATCTGGATCAACATACACTTGATGAAGGCCAGACAGCACAACATATGAAACAACAAAGATGAAGATAATAGTCTACTTGTAAATAATGATAACTCCTCATTGTAGAGTTGGCCAGTTTGGCAATTTATGTTTTGGTATCAGTTTCCACTTTTTGTTCCCCCCCCCATTGATACTGTGGTTTTTGATTCAGTTTTTCTGTTTTTAATTTAGTATTTTTGCTTTCTAAAGAAGCCACTCATGTTTCCTTGACAAGCTACTGCTACTATGCTGTATTTTCAAAAATGACATTTGCAAGAAGTTTTGACTTGTTGCGGAAAATAAACACTCCATATACTTTTCAACATTCAAGTGTTGTTTTTTTTGAAACGTCCATCATTATGGAAGTCTGTTAACTGGTGTGTAAGGGGTCAATATTTGGTTTTAAGCAAGAGTAATAAAAATTTATAGACATGCATAAAGACTACTGGAATTGAAAACCTGAAAACCACAAATTGGGGTGGGTAATAAAGTAGAGATTGTTCACCTAAAGTCAGTTTTTAGGCTTTAAAGGTAATTTAGTCATGGAATTTGTAACTTACATTAAAGTTTATTTATTAAATTTTTGAATAAATTGTCAACTATAAATAACTACCATATTTATTAACAAATTGGTAAAATACAAAAGAAGTTATCACATAAACTCTCTATATTTGTGTCTTTGAAAAACACATTTGAGAGAGAAAATGGTATAGCTCTCCAAAATTAGTTTTGGATGTGGCTTTTGAAAAAGCCCCCAAAATGAAACCCTTTATGTTTAAAATAATTAAAAATATGGCAATTCTTTTCTGGTACACCAGTCAACTGTTATTAGGGTTTTGCAAATAAATTTCTTCTAAACAAGGAAAATCAATGTGTTATTTCCCCCCTCCCTAAATAAATTTGTTTTTATCTAGCAAATACACCTAAAATTAAATATTAAATAAAACTAATTAAAGCTTTTAATTTCATTTTTAGAATGTGTAGATTTCCACATCTATGAGTATCACCTGTTATTTTTTAGATACACATTTTAAAACTAAAATAAAAAAACTATTTTAATCATTTTAATATATAATCTTAAGTGTATCCACTAGATAAAATCAAAGATATTTGTAAAAGTAAAACAAATTAATTTTCCTTGCTTAGAAGAATTTTATAGGTAGAACATCAAAACACCCACCAAACACTAGTGGCAAAAAAGAATAATTTTTACTTTGAGTTTAAAAAAAAAATGACTTGCAGTTTTGAAAATATACACATTTTAAAACCAAGATTAAAACTTTATTTTTTTTTTTTTTTTTTTTTAATTTTAGGTAGAAACATAATTTTATTTGTAGAAAACAAACAATTTTTTACACTAGAGATTCACATATCTGGAAATATACACATTTTAAAAGTGAAATTAAGAACTATTTTAATTATTCTTAATATTTGATTTAGGTGCATTCTTAGATAAAAACAAATTTATTTATAAAAAATAAAATCTTCACTCATTTTTCTTGTCTACTAGAAAAAAATTACCCTTACATAAAATCTGACTTCATAAAATTTAACATTAAAACGAAACTGGCAACTATTTTTTTTATTTTTACTCGCTATTTTGTTGTTAACTTAATTTAACCACAAAAAGTTTTTTTTTTGAAAACTGAAACAAATAGGTTTCAGACATCATGTCGTATTTTCCTTTTTTTGGTTTGAAAACATTCTATGATTTTCAAGTGTCATATCTGTCGTATTTCCTTTTTTGTCCACATTTCTTTTGTAAACAAATAGATTTCACATTTATTTCCTAAAACTAGTCAATTAAATGTTTTTAACAGATTTTTGTTCAACCTTTATCTCTTACAATGGTATAAATATTGAAAAATTTAATTTTTATTAACATGTGAAAGTCTTTTTAAATAGTATTTTTTTGGATATGGTCACTTGGTAATGATAGCACAAAACTAAGCAATTTCGGTTTCGTAAAAAATTTTCAATGAAGTTTCACAGTGTGAAGATGAAACTGCCCATCTTTACCTCATAGAAAAGATATCATAGATGTTTTGTAGTTTTTCTTATTCAATGAGTGCTATATTGTGTTTTAACATTATCTATTAATATCTGCGATTTGTTTATTTTTGTGATGTAAAAAAAAAAAAAAAAAAAAAAAGGAGGTGAACATTCTCTTAGTGCAGTGATTTCATAATTATTGTCTTATGTTTATAATTGTATTTTGGTTGTTTGTGAAGTGATGATCAATAAATCTATGAATTGCACTAAGTTTCAATAAGTGGCAAGTTAACCTATGAGAAATTGTGATTGTTGTGTAACCAATTTAAGTGTTTCAAATAAAAAATTTAATATCTTAAAAATCATATAATAAATAACCCTTTATTTAATCTACAAGAGTAAACTGTTCTCATTCCACTGCTCATGTCTAGGGATATTGTCTAGTTCTCTTATTTAATATTGCTTGCCTGTTTCCACTGCCTAACCCAGGGATTGAACTCACAACCACTAAGTCACCAAATTCACAAACCAACACTTTTATCCACTAGTCTAAACAAGAAAAAAATACCTCAGAGCCATGAAACATACATATGCTATTGCACATATTCAACATATTTGTAATACATTTAATATATCTAAGAGAAAAAAAAAGTCTGGCCATTCAAATGCTGTTCTGTTTACAGTTTCCTTAAAACTATTCAAAATTTTACTTATTTTTAAAGTCATTTTAAGGTTTTGAAACAAGGAAATAGATGTGAGCAAATACATTCTCCTGTAAAAAAGTGAACCTCTTCCTGTAGCTCCATTTGTTAATTTTTCAATACTTTCTTTAATTGGCACAGCCAGTTAGAACAATATTTTGCAATATTTGGCCCTCGTGAAGATAATCATCAAAATACTGTCCTTATCCACCCTCTTGGCAACACCCTCACCAAATGTGATTATGACTTTCCTGCCAACTTTTGAATACAAAGTTTATTTGGCTGTTAAGAACCAGAGTGATACTAGTGCATGGATTTGTTATCTGGTCCATGAATCATAATGGTGGAACCATTTTTTATCAACAGTGAAAATCATTCACTAACATTATCACTGAAAACCATTCCAAAACATTATCATTGAAAATTTTGCAAAATCAACTCATTAACATTTCTGGTCAGCATCAAATATTTTGGCCTCCCACCCTTGGCTGACGGTGTTTGCACTTCTAAATGCTCATGAAATATAATCTGTATCAGCTCAGCAATTTTTCTGACCAAGATTTGCCAGTGGAATTCTACCATAGACCCTGCAACCTGAAAAAAATAATTTTTTTATATAACTATAAATTAACCCCTCCAGATAATTCCTGGTATTAAAAAAAAAAAAAATTTTTCAGCAAATTCATACCTGTAAAAAACAAAAAAACAAACTGCATCAAAAGGATGGGTTTTCTCTTGACACTTTTATACTTCCTTGGTAATTCTTATTGTTTTAAAAAGCTATTTTAATAAAATCCAAATATATAAAACTGGAATTACACATTGCCTTTTTCTTGATAATTGAAAACAAAAGAATTAAACACTATTTACTTTATTAGATTATTTATTTACAAGAGTGTTTTAATGTTGTCATTGTTCAAAATAGCCGAGAATTAAGAAGGCCGTAATTAGAGAAAGAATGGTAGGAACAGAAGAATAGGTAGAAAAAACAAAGAGGTTTATTAAATACTCAAACACACAATGGAAATACTTGAGTAAATCAACTACTCAAATCCTACTCTACTACTTGCTATATTTATAAGTAAGAGCAGTCCAATTTCACAGGAGTAGGGATGAGCAGGAAATACACAAGTCCTACTCTACAATAAAGAGTAAATTTATATTTAAAAGTTAATTCAGTGATCTATAAATATAAGTGTATTTGTAGACTCGACTACATAGGGAGGACGTCCCAATGTTTAGATCAGAGAATAAAACAACATTTACCCACCAGGATTTTGAATCTGGATGCCAGGAAAAGTCAACTAACAAATACTTCCAGCTCTTCTATTGCAGAGCATGTAATAAATAGCAGGAACTGTGTTTTTGATTTTAGTGGTGACCGTTTCTGGATTTTATCTAGGTCCCACTCCTCATATCACCTCAAGGTCCTAGAGTCCTTGTATATTAGATCCCATGGGCCTTCCCTCTGTAAACAGAGGGAATGCTTACTGGGTCTGAATGTTATTGGACTCTAGCTTTCTTGAAATTCATTTTTTTTTCTCTCTTCATTCATTATCATTAATATTAATTAAATTTACATGTTTTTTATATCCCAGAAATAAACTTGATAGGGCTGGGATGAAACCGGTTGTTTTTTAGCTTTTTAAAAATGCCATATAAACTTTGCTTATTTCTAGCTATCATAAAATTTTGTACTACAAAAAACTTATTTAAAAGTTTCTAAAAATATGTGAATCAACCACTATGTAATATTTATCATTTACTACAAAGAAATTTTGAATATTCCGTACAGTAAACAAAAATAATACTATTTAATAAATAAACAGAGCATCTACTGAAATACCAGTATCCACTAAAATAACATAATTATAAAATTTAATTAATTTTAATAGGGTATAATCTATGAAAAAAAAATTGTTTTCTTCAGGCACTCCACAATTTTCTGTCCTTTGTAGCTCATCATAAATGTTGTCACCTCTCCTAAACCATGCTCTACCATTCATTTACATAAGTGTTGTAGGTTAGGGTTAGGGAATGTTTTCTTCTGTCTCTCTTGCCTTCAATATATCCTGTGATATATTTCTAAACCCTCTTTCCTCATTATATGCCTGTCTCTTTCTGATGTTAAGTATAAGTGTTGTTTTTGTTTACATTGTCTCTAAAACTTTGTCACTACTCACATGTTCTGTCCATATAGCGAACAGAAAATAAAATTTCTTTAAAAAAAGAAAAAATGACTGATAAATTTGTAAGATAGATTCTGGTGAGAAAAATTGTTTAGGATGACACAGGAAACCAACTTTCCTAGCAGCAGATCTAGCATTCAATATAATCTTTCCTCTTCATGTCAGCAGAGGATATTAGTTTGAGATGATGCAATGAGTCATTCTCCTGGAGGTTAGCATCAGCCATGCTGATGGGAGGTAAGAAGGGTTTTCTCAGATTATTAAAACCAGAGCAGTTTCATTTTGGAGGCATAAAAATTAACAGGTCATACCTTGCCCCTGTTAACAACAGAAAGTAGATCATTTTTTAGATCAGCTCCCAATTTGACCTTATTGAACCATTCAAGATTCTTTAAAGTTAAGATTCTTTCAAGATCTAAATGATTACAAAAACAAAACAGTTTTCTTCAAGGAATATGAAGTGATTATGGTGAAGAGAAAATAAAAATTCTTTTTACCTTGTAATGCTTATGTTATTTAATGAACAGCTGTTCAGAATAGCCGCAAGTGCAATCTGAAAAACAAAATTTAAACAGTTTTGCACAAATGTTAGGAATAAGAAAGAAAATGACAATTCTCATATTTCTGGTACATGTTGGCCAAGTATGGAGCGATAACCGGTTGGCACATTCTATAATATTTTTGTTATTTTGTTTTTTTGCTTTTCATATTGATAACTACTGCAAGTTTTCCTCTTGCCCCTTTTAATTATACCTGTTTTTTATCACATTCATTAAATTTTGTGCCTTAACCTAGTGGTTAAGATCATAACGATCAGGAAATCATTCTCTCTAGTGTTTGTGCCACAAAGTAACAGTTCTTGGAAAGAAGCTAAGTGAAACTTCCTCCTTACCAATGAAATACAAAGGAAATGAGGATGAGTCAACCTTGTGCATATGACGATCCTAAGTGTGAAGGTATAAACTGGAGAGACTAAAGATAGAGCAGCAAAGAGGCTAGCAATGTTTCATCTGTGGGGAAAATGAACTGTAAAGTGGATATTCATCACCTACAAGACCATAAAAAGACTTTTGAATTTTGTCAAAGCTGAAAAGAGAAGCAGCACTAGATCAAAATATGGCAGCAATACTCCATTGTTGGTCTGATCTGACTGACTCTTATAGAGTATAACAAAATTCCATTTGAGATCTGAAGTTTATTTGCTATGAAATAAAAAACTGGGATGAAAATACTCCATGGTGATTGGCAACAATGCTTCTGCTAAGTGGAGAGACAATTGAAATTCATGTCAAAAATGAATAATAATTAACAATAATTCATGTATCTGTCTATATTTCTGAGATGAGGTATTATTTACATTGTTTGGACTTGTCTTCATCTTTGTTGCCATAGTCACAATGTTTCAACCGTTGTACACTCTGGCCTTCTTCAGGTGATTGGAATTTCAAACCAAACCCTTTATTTTGTCCACCAGGGTAGATTATTCTTGTTCCATGTGCCATGCCTCTTCTGAATATCCCAGTATCAGTTATTTCCCTTTAAGCTGAACTCTCCAAGTTTTTGCTCACCTCCGCTGTGGCCAGGGATTGAACTCACAACACTTTATGTCAAGTCACTGGATAAAAGCAATGGTTGAAGTAATCCAGTGACTTGACCCAAAGAGTTATGAGCTCAATTTATAATGTGCCATGCGTGATACATGCTTAGGCGATCATGTATCTTTTGATACATGACTGACAAGGCAGATTTTTTCTCGCAGTAGGTTGCCATTTCTTTCAACAGTAGACCAGTTGCCATCCAAGATCCTGGTCTGTCATGCTAAGGGTATTAGCATGCAAATGAACGCAATGGATTTGACTGGAATTTGAACTTGGCTCTCCAATTCCTCAATCTGAGGCGCTATCTATTGCACTGTGTGCATGAAAGAGAAAACTTCCTAAATTATAATATGAATGTTGAAAAAGAATTACATTATGGGTCGAGAAAAAAGAAATTTCACATTTAATAAAATTGAAAATATAAATAAGTTGGTTTTTGAATTGTCTGGAATTAATGAAACTTTTAAAGGAAATTTTTTCAGGTCTAACCTTTGTGCATATACAGTTAATGTTAATAGAATTGAGTCCAAGTTAAACATACTAAAATCTTAAAATATTTCTACTTTGTTTTAATCAAAATAATAAATAATAGAGAAAATAATTTGCTGAAATATTTCCACAAAGATACCTCTTTAACTGGAATTTGCTTAACAATCAGTTTTTTTCTCTTGATATGTACATTTGAGAAAAATTGAAAATAGTCCGATATTATTTGATCAAATATTTTATATAAATAGAGCCGAAACATAACGCACATGATCTGAACATTGCGCTCAAACATGGTGTTGACCACAGTGTCAACTTTTATTTATTTATATATATATATATATATATATATAAAACAGATGAAGGAAAACGTAACACCAAAATCTGAAGGTGTCTTGGAATAGCAAAATATGTCTTCCAAAAGCCAATTATTTAGACTTATAAGAATCAATGGCTGTCAGCCCAATGGACAGACCAATATGTAAAGTACAAATTCAAGATGTCAGAATGAAGCAAGTACATAAGTTTAAATATCTGGGAGAATATGATACAAAAATTGGATGCATTAGAATAACAAAATATGTCTTCCTAAAGCTAAAGTTTTTGACTAATAACAATCAATTATAAGACAGAATCAATGGCTGTCAGGACAATGGACAAACTAAGGCAGTGAAATCAACTGATTTAACTTTTAAAGATATATATATATATATATATATATATATATATATATATATATTATATAAAAGTTTTTTACACAAAAGTTCAGGCACTCCTAGATAATAGAGTAATGGAAAGTGAGAAGAAAGGATTAACATTGTAAGATGACAGAATGAATGGTTTTCAGCAAAAGAGACAGACCAAGATGTGAGGTACAAATTGGAGAATCAAGCAAGTACATAAATTCAACTGAGAAAACAGAGAATGGAATACAGTCCCTTCATATACTGACCATGCTTACTAACACACTGCTGGAACTCTACCCTACTGCAACACACCTAATTGTTAATGGAAAAAAAAACTAAGTACTTTATTCAATTCTTGTAGCACTGACAGTTATCTCAGTAAAAGATTCATGCAAGAACTAAACTTGAATGTTCACTTGAATGTGCAAAAGTATCACCATAGCCCAGAAAACTTTAAATACTAATTCAAGGAGCTTTATATTTGTAAATCTATCTCTTTGCTTTAACAACCAGTTGTATGTTGCCACCTGTTTGGGTTTTTTGAAGGATTAGTGTTCCAATGTGATACTCGGCCAGGAATTTCAGTGTCAGCATCAGAGGGTAACATTCAAATATTATGGGTGGGTCCCTGCCCAAATTAACTGCGGACAATACCCATCTATTCGGTGCATTAAACGTGGCAGAGATAGAAGAACCTTCACTATTTCCTACTTTATCACCAAACTGTAAGCCCAATGCCATCAAATCGAGGCACTTTAACATGGAAGATCAGGCCTTCATCACTAAAGAAATTCAGAACTTGCTTTCTGAAGGCGTAATTGAAGAAAGCATTTCACAATGGCGAGCACAGCAAGTAGTGAAGGACTCCTAACTACCATCATAAAAAACGAATGTGTGTAGATTACTCAGAGATGATAAACCTATACACAGAACTGGACACTTATTCCCTGCCAAGAATTGATAAAATATTTAATGACCTTGTTAGATACAGCATTTTTTCTCAATTCAGTCTCAAAAATGCCTACCATCAGATGCTGCTTAAAAGAACCAGATAAAAAATACATTGCTTTTGAGGCAAATGGTCATTTGTTTCAGTCCTGTAGAATTATGTTTGAAGTACAAAAACAGGGTATGATTATTCCATAGAGCTATTGACAGAATAATAAAGAAAATCTATGCAGTGCATTCCCCCTTAGATTGACAATATCACAATCATGCATACAGGCAGAACATAATCAAAATATAAAAAAGTTCTTGGAGGCTATTAAGAAGGCTAAACTTAAACTCAACAAGTCAAAATCTGTGGCTTCAGTACACTCCATCAATGTGTTGGGATAATGTGTTGGCAGTGGGTTTATCAAGCCTGACCCAGAAAGACTTTGTCCCTTAAGAGAGCTACCTCCACCAGAAAACTTAAAATTATTAAAAGATGATGCTGGGCATATTCACGTATTATGCAAAATGGATAAACAAATTTTCTAATAAATAAATTTCCTTAAAAGAAAGTAAAAATTTCCCCATTTGAGAAGAGGGCACTTGAAGCTTTCAATCAATTAAAAAAGTACTAGAGGAGGTTGCACTACAACCAGTAGATGAAAAATTACCTTTTGAGGTTGAGTGCAATGCATCAGATATTGCCATTTTTGCTATCCTCAACCAAGGCGGATGCCCAGTAGCATTCATATTAAAAACACTACAGGGAAGCGAATTAAAATATCACATAGTAGAGGAGGCGACAGCAATTATTGAGGTGCTTCATAAGTGGAATCACTATCTATCAAGACATTTCACCCTAGTTACTGAACAAAGATCAGTGGCTTTCATGCTTAACAACAAAAGGTGTTCCAAATTCATTTTTGTTTCTTGTTAGTTTCTCTCAACTGTATTAAATATAAAGACATACAACTTGAGAGCAAGATTTTGAAAATTAACACAGAGGGTAAAAATGAATGGCAAACAGAAGACATTTCTTACCTGTGAAGGGGAAACAAGAAGACAGACATCAGTTAACATAGATTTCTCAATGAATTCTTCGGCAGCTGGTCGAAGAATTTCAGCATCATTGCACGTTGTACACCGTGTCTGTAACATCATTAGAAACAATACCAGGTCAAATTTTGAAGAAAAAAACATTTCAAATTTCTACAATGAGAGTGAATCCTCATTAAAATTAACCCATTTTATTTATTTTGGTTATGTCATAGAATCTTCAAATGGCAGATTCGCTGAAAAAGATTCTCAAATGAAAGGCACTTAGCTCCTAGGGAAAACATTTCAGGGAGAGGGGAGGAACTGAGGAGAGAGACTCCATATGCATAATGAGGAAAGACAGCTTGGAGAATTTAACACTCACAGGACACAGTGAAGGCAAAAGGGGTCAGAGGAAAACGGTGAATAACCTACGTAACAAGCTTTTATAAATGATTGGAAGAACTGGGATTAGGAGTAATAGCAAAAGGACAAAGCTTACTAAGAACTATAAAGGACAGGAAGTTGTGGAGAGCCATGACAAAGCACATAGAATATTTGGACCAATATGCTCATCTTGATTGTTATACTCACAATGTATAAAGGCAGTGAATGATGTTAGTTTGATGTTAATCTCAGTAACCTTGTTAGATCTTTGAATCAAACCTTTTATGGGGGTAGGTTGTTCTCATTCCACTTTTCATATTTATTCAGTTTTCTCTCTCAACAAAGGGGGACTTAAAAAAATATCAGTTTCCCTGGCAGTTATGAGTGCAATCCTGATATATGATCGTGCTGAAAAGTTACAAAATTCTGGTTCAGTGGGGAAAAAAAAAAAAACAAAAAACAAAATGAACAAACAACAAAGTTGAAGAAGACTAGTGTGTATTTACAGATACAAGTTATCTCCCCCTAAGCATGTAAAGATGAATGAGAACAATCTACCTATATGGATTGAATAAAGGGTTCAGTTTGAAATTCTAGCAATGTTACCAAGAAAAACAGACCTGTAGAAGTCTGGAGGATGCAACAGCTGAAAGCAAGATGAGTATGATAATAAGCAATGTTGTACAAATCTATACTACAACAAATTCATGACTTAGAAAATCTTTAATTTATGCAAGGATAAGTCATTTTGTGATTTTTTACTAAATGTTCACGCAATACAAGGCTCAAGAGCCATTCAAGGTAGAGGGTAAGTGAATAAGGTTGTTGTATGGACATTAGAAGAGGAATTAAGTGCAGATTATGAGGATATGTAGAATAGATAATGGTTGACCCTAAACCTGGAGAGGTTAAGATTATAGTGATCAGGAAGCATTCTCTCGGGAGTCTGTACCACAAAATAGTGGTTCTCAGGAAGAAGCTGTTTAGAGCGAAAATTCCTTATAATGCAAACCACTTCCCTTTGCAAAAAGATTACTTACCTTCATATCTATTAAGAAACCTTCCAGTGGCCTGAGTGGGTTATGGACCGTAAGATGGTAGGATAATTTTTCCATCAATAATAATTCAAAGCCAAGAACAATATCAGCAAATTTTTCCCTGTCACCTTTTAGATTGCCAACAAACTGGTTAATGGAGACATTGAATTCTTCAACTTTCGTTGAAAGATAAACACTGGTTAATCTAGATAGAAAAAGAACAGGAAAGCAAAATTAATACCTAATATTGTCAACTAGAAGAGGGTTTTTTTTGTATATGACGACACTAAAGTATCAAGGTGTTATATCATGTCACAAAGGTTTAACACTTTTTAAAAACCTATTTTATACACACACACATTTTGTACAACTCCAAACATTATTAATGTGGATGCCTATGTTTGAATAAATGTAATTTTACATTATGAAATGGACGAAGTCCGACAATTATTTTTTAACATATTTTTATGTTTATACATTCTTTTTGTAGATACAAATATTTAAGTAAACACTGTTTATAATAAAGCGTAAAATCAACCTTGCTAACCGAACACTCCTCTGTGGCTCAACCAGTTAAGGTACGTCAGGCTATATGACAGTTCTATATAGGATACAGGTTCGATTCCTGTCGGACATTTAGGCCGGTAAATGTTGTTTAATACTGTTTATTATAAAACAGAGCATTTACTTAAATATTTGTATCTATAAAAAGAATGTATAAACATAAAAAATGTCTTAAAAAATAAATGTAATTTTATTTAAAAAAAACAACAAAAAACAAAAAAAACAAGTGGAAATATGTCTGACACAATCCTGTAATGAGAATGTAGATTTATTGCAAATTGAATTACAATTGTGGCATGAGGCCAAAGGGGAAGTGGGCTGAGACTAGTCTACACTATCCTAAACCTAGCTAATCCGATTCATGATCCATTCATCCATTACAATTTACTCATTCACCACAAGAACTTATTCATCACCATTTAATCCGCCATATACCATAATACCACATAGTCACAGAGACTCTACAAACACACACGTCATAAAAATTTCAAGATATAACAAATGTCCTTTTTTGGATGTTTTTATAAAAATATATAAAAAAAATTAATTACATGGAATGAGGAGGGAGGGGGATGAACAAATTGGCAATGACTGCAAAATCATCTCCCTACCCAAATTTATAGACAAAACATACAAATGTCTGTGGGGATTTCTTCCGAGCCAATATATTTAGAGATTCTTGATAAAATCCAAAGAAGAATCTACAATGTTATTGGTCCTAACCTGGCATCTTGACTTCAGTCACTTTCCAACCACCGTAACGTAGCTTTCCTGTGCTTTTTCTATAAATACTTAAATACTTTCATGGTAATTGATTTGACGAACTTACCTCTATGGTACCAAGACACCATGACTTTAAGTGCAGTACTAGATTGGCAGCAAGGTCTCAGCCTTTTACAGTTGAAATGGCTACATGTAACCCTATGTTCTATACTAACAGTTTTTCTCACACAAAAAAATTAGATGTAATATCAGTTATCTTCTATCTTAATTCTTGTTCTTTCTCCTTAATAGTATATTTTTCTTATATTCTCTAATACTAAGTAATCCCTTTCATCTTAGTGGCTTATTGCCTTGCTTGGGGTGAATTGATTAAAAAAAAAAAAAACACAAACACTATAGACCACTTGGTCTTATCTGCCATATTTTTGTTCTTGTCTTTCTTAGTTTGTTAACCTTTTACCTTATTACAGTTGCTTTGCCTAGTTTTGACTTGCATATAGATTGTTTGCTTCGTATTATTTTTGCTCTGTTCTTTTCTTTCTCTTGTTATTGTTTATTGGAAACCTTGTGACCAATTACTCCACAATGTGCACTCAACTGCACATTTAAGAGACTTAATACAGATAATGTGCTCTTAGGCTGCTTTCATCCCCCTTCATATTGAAAACCACTGTCTGGTTCAAGGTGCTTTAGACAGCTCAGCCACAGCTAAAAAATGACAAATCAAACAGTGGTTTTCCCCTAAGAAAGGAAACACAGGTTATAATCAAGCTTGAGATCATTTTTTCCCCTCAAATGCACATGTCAGTAGACATAATTCAGTTTAAAAAAAATAAACAAGGCATCTATTTAAACATGGGCATCCACTAAAAATAATATTAAAAGTAGTAAGAAATAATATCAAATTGAAAGTAAAGTCAATTCCTTAGAAATATACAAACATATGTATTTCTTTATTACTGTAAACATTATTTTAATTGGGTATATGTATTTGAGTTGATATACCTTTTTTTTTTTTAAATTTTCTTAAACAGTGAAATTAATAACAACTGACCTAGATTGAGAAGTACTAGTAAAAATTGTACCTCTGACAGGAATTGAATCCCTATCCCTTTTTTTCATCAGGGAAACTGTTTCTACAGCCAAAATGTGCCTTTATCAATTCAGCTATGGAATCCATGTTGATAGAATAAGGTTTGAATTATTTTAAGTAATGCACAATTTTTCTCATTAGATAATTCAAACCTCATCTATCAACGGGGCTTCTATAGCCAAAGCGGTAAAGGAATGTTTCAGTTATAGAAACAAGTCTCTTTAATGAAAAAGTGGACACAGGTTCAATTTCTGTCAAAGGCACAATCTTTTAGCAGAACTTCTCAATCAAGGCTGATTGTTATTAATGTTTACAAGGATACAGAGAAATCTATTCATCCAGACAAGGGGTGTTTGTGAGTTCATTATTGCTGTATTTTGATGTATCAGTTATTAGTTTATGATGTCAATTTTTGAGGGCACTATATATATATATATATATATATATATATATATATATATATATATAGTGCTCTCCCAAAATTGACATCATTTTATCGTCTATTAACATAGCCAATTTCTAGCAAATTTTAACAAAATGTGTAAAAACTAAGTTGACTGTGCAGACTTCTCTCAATGAGAATCTACCAGGAAGATAGATTGAACATTCCACTGATAATGACAATGTGCTGTTGAAATGGCCACCATATTCAGCTAACTTGACACTATGTGATTTTTTTTTATTGGGCAATATGAAAAGACCAGTCTATATCCATCCCCTTTTTTTTTTTTCTACAAGCCTAGGGGAACTTAAGTGGAGAATCACTGAGGTGCTGGAGAATGTTATGCAAGACATGCTACAATGTGTTTGGCAGGAGCTGGACTACCAACTTGTGTTGTATCACAGGTGGTGCACATATTGAAGCTTTGTGAAATCGGTTATAAAATCTACATTTCTTTGAATATCTTGTTTGAATTTTGATAAATAAATATTTTATTGTTCCACATGAAGCCTATTTAATTTCCTCTGCCTGGGACATGTAGTTACTCAGATATTCACACTTTAAATGATGTCAATTTTTGGGAGACACCCTGTGTGTGTGTATTTTTATATAGATTTAAAGGATGCTGTATTTATGGTTTAAAATGCTCAATATCAGGAATAGAGCCTGTGTAAGTATAGAAGTAGGCTCACAAACATGTATGTAAGCATGTTTGTTTCTAAAAGAGAAATAAATGTACTTACGTAATGTCACGTGGATGATAATTCATGACAGAATTATGAAGATAGAAACGTTTAAAGTATGTCATGGCTGTTCCCTATAAGACAAATTCATTTTTTAAAAACATCAACTCAGTAAAAAAAAAACAAAAAAAAACAAAAATAAAACAAAAAAGAAAACAACAATTTTATAAATGGCACATCAAAACTTGTATAAATGATTCGGTCATACACATTTTCTTTTGTACTTAAAAATATAAACTGAACCAGACTATCCTTTAATTGATGCTTATGACAAAACAAATTATATTTGGGGTATGAATTTTCTTAACTCTGCAGTGACCAAATGTTACAATCTTAAAATCACAGGATTTCTAGTTTAAATTATCAACATTTCTAAAACCATTTCAAATAACCACATCACCAAGTCTTACAAGGGAGGAATTTTGTGGTATTATGAATTACATTTTTAATCAAAAATGAAGTAGTTTCAAATGAGGTTTATTGAAAATTGATTTTCATTTTCTATGACTTATCAAGCTTTTGCAGGTTATTTAAAGCCAGAAAATGTTTTTAGATTGTAAGAACTTGTTTTTTTTTTTTTTAGATAATAATGGTTTAGTGATACAAGTCTTACTAATTAACTCATAGCAGGATAGAAAAGGTGAATTCATACCTAATCAGAATTTGATAAACTAGAAATTATAGTGGATATAAAGTGGGGGATCAAATCTATATTACAATCAATAATAAAACTCATCCCTTACTTTGTGTCTATGGTAGTTTCTATACCTTTATATTCCAGAGAATACAAATAATTTTTCACAAACATTAATCGATTCGTTTTCTACAACTTAACCTTTTGCAGGTTATTAAAAGCCAGAAAATACTTTTAGATTGTAAGAATTTTTGAGAGACAATAATGGTTTAGTGATACAAGTCTTACTAATTAGCCCCTAGCTGGGGGGAGAAGAAGTGGATTCATACCTTTTTCAAGGTGCATAAGTAAATATAATGAACCTAATGAGAATTGGAACTCAGTTCTCCAATTAACAATTCCGAGGCATTATTCATTACACCACCTGCACATCCAAGCTTAAAGCACCAAGTATTTTCAATCAATTACTCATCCAGGATTGACATTGCTTAACTTCAGTGATCATACGGGAACCGGTGTTTGAACATTATATTGCTGTAACCCGTTTATTGTTTATGCCATTATTGTTACATGTGCTATGGATAACACATTTAATTAATCCTGAAGCAGGTACATATAAAATAAACTGTCACAACTGTTACTCACAATATAGTGGGGAAACTTGGAAAAATTAAAAACAACATTTATGAACACAGAAGGATCTTTTTTATATATATATATAAATATATATATAAAAGGTATATTTAGGCTGCAAGTATTCATCCAAACAGGTTTGATTAAAAAGAAACTGACTAGATCTGTCTCTTTAATTTTTTATTGTATTTTATCAATATTTTTTTTTGAAGAAGGTGCTGTGTATTGGGATCAATACTTGATACAGAGATGGTCAAAAGTATTTAAAAAAACAAAAACACAAATTTGGACTTTGGACAGTTTATCCACAATTTTGATTCCAATACACAACACATTATTCAAAAACTGAAAAAAATTAAACAAACATACATTGTTGGTTCTTTTAATGAAACTTGTGTGTGTGTGTGTGTGTGTGTGTGTGTGTGTGTGTAAGTAATCAATAATAAAAAAAAGACACAAAAAGTTAATGCTATAAAATAGCTACAAATAACCACATTTGGATTCACAATTATTCCTACTCAATAGCCTCTAGTTTAACTTGAGATATAATTGTTACTGCCCACCCAATAACCATTATGATAATACAATAGACCTTATTACCCACAATGCACCATTGACCAGCATATATAAATAGTCAGACCAAAATACAGCACACATGACTTGAAGATTGCGTTCAAGTATGAAACAAACTATAACTGCTATGTGTTAATCTCAGTGGCCACTTTATATTCATATACACTCTTCCCCTAATATTGATCACTTAACCCATAAATATAGCATACCATAAAACTTTATATATATATATATATATATATATATATATATAGGATTAATAGAAATATGAAATTTTTTCACTGAACCGATTGATTTTACTTTCAGCATCCCGACTCTAGAGTTTTGTAGATGGACCCTCTAGCAATCATTCCATCCACTCCTCGGAGGGTATCAGCAATTGGACTGATTTATGCACTTTTCATTGGTACAAGTTTTTTTTTTTTTTTCATCTTTTGTGTGCATGCATATATATATTTCTTGAAAAGGTTTGCACATTCTGTTTTCCAACAGAAATATATTTGTATAAAATGTTTTTATTGATCAAGAATGGTGCAGTAATGGATACAAGTTCAAAGATTGAACCCCCATCCCACTCACTTTGGAAAGAAAAAAAATAGAACTCCTCCACTGTCTTCAGTTACACACATGTCCTTTATTTCATACTGTAGCTTCTAATTTCCCATAAAATGAATTGATATTTACATGCAAATGAAAAATTACATTAATACAAATGTAATATTCTTATGTTTCAAATGAAAATGCAATAAATTCACTAAACAAAATAGTAAAATCTTTTTTTCAACAAACTATGACATTTCCAACAAACATTTTCCCCTAAAAAAGTTAAACATTTACAAGGTAATCATTTTTACTAATAAACACACAGTTTCAACAGACAGTTCAGTGGATTTGTGAAATCTTTCAATTATATACAATCTTAAAAAGCCAAGAATAAAGAAAGATTCTCAACTTACCAAAACATATTTTGGCATTGGTGGTTGAAAGCAGTTACAGAATTCTTTCATGATATATTCATAATGACGACATAGATTGTGTTCTTCAGCAGGGGAGAAAAAAAATTCTTCTGCTTCTTGATCCTGAATAAATAAAAATGAATCAAAATGACAAGTAACAATTTTGTCACCTTTTAAACAGACAGGTAGGAAATTGTCATAAAATTGACAAATGCTTGAGTTTAGCAAAAGTCTCTGATCCACAAATATTAAACTTGTAAACACCTTCCCAATTTACCAACACCTGGAATCAAATTCTTGATTTGTCAATAACAATGACTAATAAAACGTCTTGCAAAATGCTGCAAACTTTCCTTTCTTGCTCAATACAAATGCATACTTTACAGTTCACCTTCCTGGCAAATCTGTTGTTTTTTTTTAAATGAATTATTTGCATATGTATCTGTGGTTGCAAAATGCTGTCCTTTTTGGTAAGGATTATTGAAATATTATATGAGCACATGGCTAAGTGGTGAGAATGTTCACTTTATTACTGTGGAACTCAGGTTTGAATCTTACCATGGTTGATTTATCAGGAAGGCGATCCCAGCATGTAAAACCTTTGAAAAGTGCCTGAAAACAATACCACAGGTTGACCCAAACTTTGTGAGTGAAACTGAGTAGATGGAACTATTTGGAAGCTAGCACAAAATCACAAGTCATCGTGACCAAGAGTTTGAGTGTACCAGCCTTGCTCAGACTGCTGATCATGTCAGATAATGTGCTATCTCCCAGATACTGGAAGTAAGGTCTGCTCAGAATGGTTGCAATATAAACCACAGGTGAGCTCTGTGGGTGTTGAACAAACACAAATGTGCCTGAGCAGGCATCTGCAATAGGGATTAGCTAGTCACCTTAGGAAACAGGCATACTTGGATACAAGCATCCAGCCATTTCATTACTATTGACATATCATGGATAGTATGGATTATTTGCTTGTATACACAACTTCCAAGGGACATGTTGAGGTCCACCCTGTACAAGGTCTGAGGGACACTTGGGATAGAGGTTTACAGAGTAAGAGGCACAGTTTATGCAGATAGGTTGGGGAAGATTAACCCTAGACTTGAACAGGTTAAGATTGTAGTGATTGAGGAAACATCCTGTTGGGAGTTGGTTCCACAGAGCATTGGTTCACAGGAAGAAGCTGCCAAGCACTTTCCACAGAAGTAGTGATAGAGCTGGAAGAAGCTTGCCACATGCTGTAAGAGAGGGGTTGCAAGTTGGAAAATAATTTGTCACCCACAAAGACACTGAGAAGCTTTTGGACTCTATCAAGACTGGAAAGTGAGGGCTGGGCAGCCTCCACCCAAATATGACAGCAGAACTCCATTTCAGGCCTGATCTGGATGTTGTAAATTTAAAAGATGGCATGAAGAGTCAGGTACTGACTGGAATGGTGCAGAGAACTGACCATTTTTCCTGCATCTTTAATAATGGGTCATATGTATGAGTTCCATTTGAGGTCTGGGCTTAGTTGAAGGCCCAACAGTGTCCCAAGATATGGGCGCCTCCCTGAGGAGACATCCATTCATTGTGACTGGTGGTAGTTTGGGATTTGAGTGTTAGTTTTATTATCATAAAATTGAATGCAACCCACTCAATGATTTTTTTTGTGGCAATCCATTTCAAATACAAATTCAATTAAATTTATTTATGTATTCTGCAAATGTAAAAAATCAATGCCTCATTCAGTTTTTTTTAGAAATTACTCTATCCAATGATATAAAAGGTGTGACTTGTTGTGCTTTCTCAGTCTAACATTCTTGGCTGACGTGAAGTGGAAATACTATACTGAATTCATTGCTAGATCAGCTGTTAAGAAAGTCGGGTCATTCTGTCATGCTAGACATTTTTTTCTACCCAGAATCTATCTTACATATTTATAAATCTACCATTCATCTTTACTTTGATTACTGCTGCCACATCTGGTTCAGTGCTACCACTGTATATTTAGAGATTCTTCATGAAATCCAAATAAGAATCAGCAATATTATTGGTTCTAACCTGGCGTCTCAGCTTCAGTCACTTTCTCACCACCATAATGTAGCTTCCCTGGGCCTTTTCAATAAATACTTTCATTGTAATTGTTCAAATGAACTCTTCACTATGGTACTTAGACTTTATGAATTTAAGCACAGTACCAGATTACTGGCAAGGTCTTATTGATTCACAGATGAATTGGCTAGATATAACTAAGTTCTATGCTAACAGTTTCTTTTCTCGCGCTTCTTGCTTGTGGAAATCTCTCTGGCTCTATGCTTCCCAACCAACTTTGATCTTCAAAAATTTAAATGCAATGTCAATCGATATCTACTGCCTTGATTAGTCTTCTATTCTTCTAGTCCTATAACGTTTCTTTTTTTTTTTTCCTTGTTCTTTCACACTCAGTAACCCCTTGTATCTTAGTAGCTTTATTGCATTCCATGGGGTGATAGGATTAAAAAAAAAAAAAAAAAATTTAGATTAATAATTTATGAACTTATTTAAGAACACAAATTTAATAGATATTTTAATGATCCTTGGCTAAAAACATCACTTATGATGTGTACCAAAGCATCAAACTGACTTATTACATGAACAATAAAAAAGAAAACTGAAATTGTAAGTTTGCCCTCAACAAAATGAATTCAATGACATGATTAGCCTCTGATCAGTGTAGTATCTGTGCACTACCAAGATCAATGTTCTGAGAGTAGAATAAAATGACACCAAAGAAAGCCTATTTCCTTTAAGAAAAATACAAAAAAAAAAAAAAAAAAAGTCACATTCTTATTATAATTCATATTCTGAATAATTGTCACTGGTATAAAATATAAGCTATGAAACTACCATTAGAAAGTTACATTTTTTTTTTTTCATGTTTGGAATTTCTCCTTTGTTACCAAAAACTGAGATGTTTCTTTTGGACACAAATTGTTACTTAAAATAAAAATTGACAGTATTAATACTTAATAAAAATTTTATAAAATTTTTACCAATTCTTTTTGTAATTTTTACCTACTCTCTTCATGACTTTGTGTTAATGACATGAAATATTTTCCATACAGGAGGCAATCATAACTGTGATTGTCATTTGCCCAAAAAGTGGTTGCACCAAAACTGTTAAAATATCTTTACTTCGTCAAATGGTTCACTCCACAAAAAATGCAAAGGTTAAAAAATTAAAGGGAGATAATTTATTATTTACACTATATTCAGACTATTGTCTTCATCTATGTTGTTATTAGTTTCGGCCGTTGTGCCCTCTGGTCTTCATCAGGTGTATATCAATCTGAATAACCTACAAGAAATTCTGAACGGAATCCTTTATTTAATCTATGGGAGTTGACTGTTCTCATTCTACTACCAATGTTTAGGGATATCATCTAATTCTTATTGCTTTCCTGTTTCCAGAGTCCAAGTGCACACTGCCGAGACCAAGGATTGAACTCACACTTACTGACACAAAATTCCTGAATCAACACTTTAATTCACTCTGCTGAGTACTGAAGCTTAACATGGGGGAAATCATGATTAAGAATTGCATGTATTCTATTCTTTGCAGTTGTGGTGGAGAATGTAAAGAAGAAACAAGCTGCCTTGATAGAGTTCAGAATCATGTACGTGGCCATATGGGTGATGAATTATTTTCCACTCTACAACCCTATCCTCATAGATGAAATGTTGGAAGCCTTTTGATACTCTATTGCTATTTCCATGGCAAACGTTCAGATTCACTAGTTCTGACCTTCACAGCTAAGATCCCTCTCCACCCACATTAGTACACCCAGACAAATCATGACCCTACCCCCATTCCCTTCAGATTTCAGTAGTAGTAAGATGGATTGATTTAACAACATCCAATTTGGTACAAAAAGTAAATATAAACTAGAAACTAGTGTAACCAACCAATATAAAAATTAAGACTGACACGTTCACTTAAGCATTGGCCAATATAGGTGTTATGATGATCAAACTTAGTAGCCATAGATATTCTATGTACATTGACTCCCTCACTAACTGGTTTCACAAGTATTTCTCATTATGGGGGACCTTGATTGAGTTCTTTTATTCTAAGTGTCCTATGTTTTGTACTCAGAGTCTCCTGAAGAACTTTGATCATCCATTGATTCCTCTGCCCTGTCTTCCTGTTCATCTACATAGCCATTCAAAGTAGCTTCACTTTATACTCATTCAGAATTTTGGCTAGCTCTAGACTGGTCTGCATAGGCAACATTATTTTTCACTATTCTTGCATATTAATGCCATGTTGTATCCTTTTTGCATTATGAAATTTTCCTTTTCTGGCACATTTCTTTTGTATCATTTGTTTTCATTACTAGAATAAGACATGGTTAATGGAGCTCTAATCTGCCTGCCCATTAATGAAAAGCTCTCTAATCTGTCAGCATGTGGTATTGTTTTGTAACTCAACAATAATCTTGATAGGAAAGTTTCAATCTTCTCTTGCTGAGAAGAAAATGCTTTCAATTTGGACCATTCGCTCAGCTATCCCATTTGATTGAGGGTGGTAAGGAGGTGCTTTCTATGGGACACAGCCAATCCTCCTTAACCATGAGCAGAGACTTCAGAAGCATTATCAGTTACTAATGTTTTTGGTACTTCATTTCTAGCAAATATTATGTGTAATATTTGTTTTAGAGTAATAGATTTTTTTATCCTGAACCCGGAAAACTTCAGACCAGGCAGTAAAAGTGTCAACCAGTATTATACATAAACCTACCCTGTTAACTTGTGCATGATCCATATGAACTCCAGACCATGGTTGTTTCCTTAGGTCAAGAGTGTGACATAAGTAATTCTCCACATCTCAGGTGTGTCCTGGCCACTATGCTTCCAGTTTTAACCATTTTTGTGTAGCAGTTATTCCACAATGCACATCATCATATACACTTTTAATTACTTTTTTTCTACATTTTTCTAGTGGTACAACTAAATCCCCACTACAAATTAGACCATTTTCTATTGATAGTTTGTGTCTGGTTTCTTTGTATGTTCTTTCTGCTTTTGGACAATTACTCCGTTTATTGTTCCTTATTCTAAATAAAATTCAACTTAAGATTGGAACTTGTAAAATCTCCATAACTAGTCTATTCATAGGCAACACATCTGTTTTCACCCAATGCAAAAATTTATCCTCAAATTTTTTGTTTTGTTCCTTTACAAATTGTAGTTGGGACATAGCATCTATGTATGGTATCATGTTTCCCTTTACGTATTCTATATCATAATCAAAAGCCATTAACTTCATAGCCCATCTTAATATTCTAGATGATGTAACTTTTGGCAATTTATTCCTAGAATGGAATATAAATTTTAAGGGCTTATGATTGAATCGCAACAAAAAGTTTTTCCTAATAAAAATTGTCTTGCTCTGGTCATACTTCATACAATCACAAGTGCTTCCTTTTCAATATTAGACTCATACAATTCAGCTGGTATCAATGTCCTGTAAAGATACATCACTGGGTGTCCTTCCTGTGACAAAATTACTGATATAGGCAGGCAGCTCCTGTGACGGTGCCAAACTGTAATAGCCCTGCTGTTTCTTTGGAGCCATCAGCGATGTGGAGAGGAGGGACATGCTGCATGGGCAACATCTTGTCCTCTATACCATACTGCCTGGGCTTGATCCTACCTTATGCTTAACAGTAACCACTGAGAGGGCCTTGCTGCTGACTGTTCTGGGTGGAGAAGCATCCTGACTAAACAACTAATGTCAGAAGAGGAAAAACTGAACAAGGCAACAGAAGACAAGCAGATTCGCAGAAAAGAATGCTGCAGCATAGACAATTCACAGGTGTGACAGAGACTGCCACTCATGCATTGGCTTGTTTAGCAACAGGTGGTGATGTTCCAGCAGAGCAGATGTTTGGGATCAAATCCAAGGTCACTGATTACTGGCAGAGGCCTATCTAGCCAACAATGCATCCTATAGTTGTCATTTTTCATTTAAATAACGCCTTGCATGAAACCACATCATAGTTAATAAAAATGGCGTTCAATTGAATCATCGACCAGACATATTTTCTATTTTTACATTATATGCAATGTCAGGTAACATTAATTTAAATATAAACTCCATAAAATTGCATTGTTATAAATATAAATTCAATAACACTTTAATTTAAATGTCAAATTGGTTGTTTTTGTTTAGCAGCATATCAACACCTCTATGGGCTATTTAATGCTGAAATCTAAATATTTTGTACACAATTTTATTTTTGGAGTTATAATAGTTTAGTGATACAAGTTTTACTAATTAACCTAAAGGGAGAAGAGTTGGATTCATACCTTTCACAAGGGTATTTGCACATAAGTGAATATAACAAACCCATCTGGAATTGGAACTTGGCTCAGATTAACAATTCCAAGCCATTATTCATTACATCACCAGCAAATCCAAGCTTATACAGCACATGGTATTCCTAAGTAGTCAACCATCTAGGTACTGACCAGGCTCCAGGTTGCTTAACTTTGGTGGTCATATGGGAACAAATGTTTCAATGTGATGTGGCCATAAGCCCAAGTAGCTTATGGTTAACTTTTGATAACATTTTAATGCATCCCAACCAAAAAGGTATCGCCTTAGTCCCGACAATATTGATGTTGTTTTACTTGAAAGGGATTAATACCCCAATTTTTTGGCAAATACACACCTGAATACATTATTTTTTAAAGTACTTGTTATACTTTTATTTGTTCTTTCTTCTTCCAAGATATTAATTAAAAAAAATAATATTTTTCTGTGTATTTTCCCATTTTTGATTTGCTTTTGGTGGCAGGTGCCACTTCAATAATTTGAAATATAAAAATAACAAGTATATCATTACAATGCATGCAATTTTTAAATTAATACCAAAGCCTTTTCATAAATGAAAAGATCTTCTTCTCAATAGTAAACATTTTATGTGCAATATAAGCCAAGCCAGTGATACAATAAAAAATTTCAGAAATTAATAAAAAGCATTTCTTTTTTGAGTAAAAAAAACTTTTCAAATGGTTTGCTATCTTATTAAGCTATTAAGAATTAATAAAGAATAGGTTTTTTTACAAAGTTTTTTTTAAGTCCACTGTCATTTTTATCAAAGTTACCAGATTTGATGGTAAAATGGGAAGACAGTTTTAGTCAATAAACTTACAAAAGCAAGCAAAAATGTCCTTGTTTACCTATTTAGAGTAAAATTAGCAGCAATACATTTTTATATAAAGTTATCAACAATACCTATTTACATTTATATATATTTACTAGCAGTAGAGCCCGGTGTTGCCTGGGGATGTAACAGTAAGAGATAGATCAAGTATCGACCATCATAAAGACTGAAAAATAAAATTGACAAAGATTATTGTTTAAGGTTGACGGACACGCATGTCTTAATTAGTTTTTTTTTTTTACGAATTGGTCAAACCCAAACTCAAACAAAAACACTGTTTTCAATCGTTATGAGTCTATCAATTGAATAGAATAATTTTATAAACAATTGTCTTGTAAATGGAATTTTTAAAGCATTCTGCATGTAAAAATAAAGAAAAAAGTGTGCAAGACAATAAGAAATACTACCTGCAAAAAAAAAAAAATGAAGTTTTGTTGAAATCGATTGAAAAATGTAGGAAATCCAATCCCATATATAAACACACACACACACACACACACACACAACCATGGTTTTATAATAAGTATAACTCGATATGAGTTGTCCCCCCTTTCATTCTCGCGACAGCGATGCCTCTTAATCGTGTTTTCAAATTGATTTAGTGCAAAAATTTTATACAATTGTATTTTTCCAATTTTTGGCGCTGTCAGAACCACCGCAAGGTAATTTTACGTAGTCCTGTGAAGTTTTGTTGAAATCGGTTGAAAAATGTAGGAAATCCGATCCAATATATAAACGAACAGACACACACACAACCTGGGTTTTATAATAAGTATGATATATATAAGGTGCGATGGATAAATTATCGTCTAAATTATGCAAAAATGAAAATAGCACTGACATCTCATTTTAACAGGTATATTTTTCAAGACGGTCTCCTTATTGGTGAATGCTGCCATAATCTTTGCATTCATTTCATCTTTGGTATTACAAGGAGTTTTGTTGGTCTCTTGTGCCCCACACATAATAATCAAGGGGGTTGCAGTCTAGGGAATAAAGTGGTCAGATGTAAGGAGAGATGCGGTTGCAGAAATTGTCTGACACCCATCACTATGTTCTCCTACTTGTGTGGCATAGTGAAGAGTCCTGTTGCCAGACTTAGGGTCTTCCAGCAGTCACCCTCCTCAAGGCAGTTGATGTAGGCATCGGTGTTGAGTCTGAGGCCCTTACCAACAAATTCAGGAGTGAGTTTTCTGAGCTGCCATACCTTTAGTTTACCATTAGACTCACACAACTCTTTCTGAATCCTCTGCACTTTTCTCAGATTGACACCCAAACACTCTGAAATGTTCATATAAGAGCTTCCAGCACAAATACCAAACAATATAGTATGCGGTTTCCAAATTTCTGGCAGAGTGAATTACGTCATGGTGCTTTTTTTCTTACAGTTTGTGCCCAACTGACTCTACTATAATGTGCAGCCAAGAAAATCAAAAACAAATAGCGCAAAAGTGCAAAATTAAAAATATAAAATAGCACCAATTTACTCATCGCACCTTGTATAGTAAAATTACCAACAATACATTTTTTTAAAGCAAAGTGACCAGCAATTTTTAACTATAATCTAAATTAGTCATTATTTCAAACTGTTACTGAAATTATTTTTGGTAAAAATCAGTTTTGTAGCTAAATTTGATAAAAAAAATAATTTATGCTATCAATTGTTTTTCAATCAAATTCAGCTACAAAAACTGACATAAAAATATAAATAATAAATTATAAAATACCGCCAAGTTCGGCATCTCTATTTCCACATATCAAATCCTGAATTACCTGGGCACCTCGAGGTGGTGTAATGGTTAGTAAGCTTGTCTCGCTAAAACAATTACGACTGAGTAGTGAGTTCGATCCTCACTGGATGCCCCTTAAATTCGGCCTTGTGCCATATCCAAGCTACGCTTGGAAAATCATTATCAAATCCTGAATTACCTCCCTTAGATTACTTTACAAAGCCTCAAAATTTTAAGCAATGATAAGCTTTGAAAACCAGTAAATGTTGTTAGTATGTAATAAATTATATTGCATTTGGAACAATATTTTTCACTTACTTCTCGTGGTAGACTTTTCATATCTCTAGGTGGTAAGTCATTTTTTTTTTGTTTGTTTGTTTTTGAGTGGTCAAATGTTGAATCATATAATAAGTCAACATTAATTTATTTCATTTTTTATTCATGGATTGGAATAAAACTAAAAGGTGTGTTCAGAACATAGGTCATTCAGTATTTCGTATGCAAAAATTATTTTGAAAATTAAACTCAGCGATATGCTTTAGTTTCTTACATCTTGTTCTAATAATTATTTTGTTTTGAAGTACTTATTAAGCACATCTTTTTAACCGATAACACTCTGTCTGGTTTAAAAACACTTCAGGATCATCTGAGTAACTTTAAAGTCTAATGGACACAAAATTTCTAATTTATTCAACGCAAAAAATTAACATTCTCCTAACTGAAGATTCTACTGTCTAACATTTTTACTCAACTGCTTCTTGGTGGAAAAACTTAATAAAATGCATTGTTATTTTTTCTCTAAGAAAAATAATTCTGTGATTGACAATTCTACTACTTGTTGACGGAAATAAATAATTTATTGCAGATTATTATGAAAATACTGACCGACATATCGCCTCGATGGGATTTTATGAATTCTTCGTTTGCATTTCTTCTCAACTGAGTCAATTCAAATTCGGATTGAAACATCCACCATTTCTTCTGTGTACTGAGGGCGAACATTTTTGTTTTCTGCCAGACTCTGAGAAACAATTAACAAGAAGTTTATTTTCTTGGTAGTAAATATTAATGTTCAAAAAAACTTCTCACTGTCACCTTACTTAAATTTTATAAATCTGTAAACATCGTATGGGACGGCCATTTTGAAATTGCCATGTGTTTGGAAACCGGAAGTTCTCAACCGGAAGTGTGAGTCTTTAATAAACATTCTCTTTTTTATTTTTCAGAAACTAGCTTTTTCCAAATTAACAGGTAAATAATTTCTTTTATTTTGAATTTTATTTATTGAGGTTAAGTTTTTAGCCAAGAAGAGATTATTCTATATTTTTATGTTTAATTTGTACTTTTTTTTTTTTTAAGAATAAACGATATGGACTCGTGCTTTAATTCTTTCTTTTGGTAACTTGTTTTTATTACAGTTACACACAGATTGTTTTTTTTTCTTTTTCTGTTTAATAATCACAATACCAAATTAAATTTAGTATTATGATTTAATTTAAGGATGTTGGTTGATAAATTAATATTTTCTGATTTGAAGTTTAAACAAAAAAGACGGTTATATTTGTTTTGCTCACACAGAACCGACAAAATGTAAAATCCAAATTTGCTGTATTTTTTAAGTAAAAGTAAAAAAAATTTTATTTAATAAGTAAAACCTTTTGACTTTATTAATTTTAAAAATATTTTCTTACAAAGTTTTCAGCATAAAATTTGTGGGAAAGTAATTAATTAACGATATTCATAAGTTGTTTTCGATAACAATGAAAACCTTTTTTAAAACTAAAAATTTCAATTTCATTCTTTAATCTTCTTAAGCAAATTAAGTGAATCAACACTTTTTTTTTGTATGAAGATACCTTTTTCTTTTGTAGTTTACTTTTTGCTATGTTCATTTTTTTTTAGATAAATTACATCGTTACTTACAATTGGTTATTAATATTCTATTCACCTAAATTCAGTACCTCCTTAGGTTTAAAAAATGAAAAATCTTGAGGTTTTTTTTTATTTTAGATCTCCTAATATAGATTTCTAAATTTAGTGTTTCCAATAGCAAAATACTTTTAAAAAAATTAAATGTATTTCATTGAAATCGCTAAGAAAAAATGTCATTTTTTTAGCCATATAATTCACGTAAAACAACGTAATTCTTTTTAAAAATTTTAAAAAATCTTTCAAAATTAAAATGTACTTTTCTGAAACTTTATTTGAGGAAGATTTTGTTGAATTAATAATTCGATTTAGAACAAATATTACTTTTTTTTAATTTAACGCAAAAAAGCATTGAGATGTTGACAACTATCTCCATATGCTTTTAAAAATTTATTCTATAAAAATTACTTGAGGAATATAATGTGAGCGCCTTTTTTATATAATTTTTTTTTAACTAATATTAAAAATTTTAGAAAATATTCTAAGTAATCTAATGTTTTATTAAATTTTAGGAACTTTGGTTTTAAATTTACTATAGTTTATCAGTCTTATTTTCTGATAATGTCGTGTCTGGAGGTTCATATTTACAAAAATCGGCTCGCTTATACACAAAATTCTTTTAAAAAAAAATATTCTGGGGGTCGCTGAATTAAGAGACATCACTTATTTACATTTATTTCAATATTATGTATAGCATCTGGGTAAATATTTTTATTAACCTACCAACAGGTACAATGAAATCAATTTGAAGACAGAGGGTAGTTTTTCAGACAAAACAAGGTGAATTCAAAGTGGTTATATAGGTATCACCTTGAGAAAAGGCATTTTACAAGATGTACTTTTTATTGTAAAATTAACATCACTGTAGTAAAAGAGCAGGGAATATACAGAAGTGCAACCAAAAAGTGGAAAAATTGTTTTATCAATGTAATCGGTATTTAAAAATATCATTCATTATTTTTCAAAACGTCCATCTCCACTATAACTTTCTAATAATGTTACATCCTGAAATGTTATGAAATCATTCCAAAATTTTGGAGTTTTTGCCGTGAATTCTTTCATGATTTCTAACAACATGAGTAATCTGAAAAAATTTTCAGTGTTAACCTGTAGAAATAGACAATATTTATAAATGTAAATGCATTTATAAATATTATAGAAATAAATTCAACCACAATTTTGATTTTTTTAAAAATGCTACACTCATAAAAAAAGAAAATAATTCACTCAGAAGGAAAATCTTTGAGAGTGCTGCCATTGAATGTTATTCAAATATTAATCTACGCCCAGACTTTTTCCCTATTTCACCTTCCTTAACAGAATTACTACTCTCCCAAACACAATAAAAACAATATCTCCACACGTGACAGTACCTGATGTAATTTTCAGTTAACAGTATGAAAATAACATTCTGTAAATTCTTTCAGTTGCTAAGGACATTTTTTTATTATTAGTTACTTTGTTTAATAAATTCATTTTGTTTTTGCCTTGAAAAAGTCCACATTGGACAAAACGCGCTGGCTACTATTACGATTTTCCTATTGTCTTTTACATTAATAAACATGAGTAATCTATTTAATCCTAATGTGTTCAGGTATTTGGCTTTTCTCTTTGTCTTTATTCAGCACATTGCACGAAATCTATATTCAGCAGTTGTTGAGACGAGCATTACTGAATTTGTAGTGAGATGTAAATGAAGTAGTGTATAAAAAGAAGTATTGCTATACTTACTGGGGAGTTATCTTCTCTTGACGAGACTACATCTGCCAGAATACCTATTATAACAATATGGCATTGCCGATTGGTTACTTAAGCACAATGGAGGATCCAGAAAATGTAGAAACCTGGCTTAAGTGTTTTGCAGCATTGGCAGGAGTAAAAAAGTTAAAGGACACCAATAAAAAACATCTTCATGATCTATCCCAAAGTGTTGGAAGATTTAGCATATGAAGAAATTGCTGCCATCATAAAAGCAAACTAAATTCCTTGAAAGTAGATAGAGACCAGGCAAAACTATTATGCAATCTGTACAGTGATTGAAAGAAGTGTTAAGATATTGTGAATTTGAAAGAGTGGGTTCAAATGTCTATTGAAGACAAGCTAATTTAGTAAGACTCATTGACATCTTGTACAAGCATAAAATTCTAGAGCTGTTTCAAGCTCGTAATATGAATCTGGAAGCATGTGTAGAGTTCATACAACAATTAGAATTAATTAAAAAAATTTAATGCCTCCAAAGACAGCATGGAGGCCTACAGTGCTACTAAAAGCTTAATTGTATGCAGATATTGCAATAAGGAACATGAAAAGAGCAAAAATAAGTGTCTGGTTTTTAGGAAATGTTGTTTTAAGTGTAAAAAGAGAAATCATTTTCAGACAGTATGCACATATAAAAAGCAAGTGGAAAATATAGATCCTCTGATTGAAAGTACAGAAGTATTTGAGATAAAAGAGCAAGATAAAAGTAGGAAAATGACAAAGTTGAACGGAGTAACTTTACTCATGCAGGTTGATACTGGAAGTGATGTTACGTTGATATTGAGGAATTTTTAGGAAAGAATGGGTAGACCAAAGTTAAAGAAAAATTAATCTCCAGTTGAAACACTTCGAGGGGTCAATCATCAAAATTTTAAGATGCTTTGAAGGCACATTTGAAACAAAAAATAGATTCAAGATAATAGAATTGCATCAGAGTGGTGGAAAATATCAGAAGCCATGGTAAAATGTTAATATGCTAGAAAGTCTTCCTGTTATGAATTAAATAGAATAAGCTGCACTCTCTTGCTTTGAGGTAACCACCAGTCTATGAGAAGGGAAACTCAAAAGCTGGGCTATCTTGCTAAAGACGCACTACTGCTGCTATGGCAAAGTACATGTGGCACCCTTACAACACTAATTAATTACGGAATTTATGGTGTGAGCAGTGCTACAAAAATATTGTCTATTTGATAAGGGCAAAGATTTAAAAAATGACCTACAATTTATTGTTAATTGGGGCAAGAAATGACATCTTAATTTTAATGCCTACAAAACAAAACTGCTCTCTTTTTATCATCTTAGACAACCTTTTTTTGCCTTCCATCATTATGGATGATGCTAGCCTCCAGGATGATGACCCATTACACCTTCTCAGGCTAATGCTTTCCGCTGACATAAATTGGAAAGATTATATTGAATCAATTGTTAGGTCTGCTGCTAAAAGAGTTGGTTCACTGTGTCATACTAGACAATTTTTCTTGTCAGAATCTAACTTACACATTTGTAAGTCTACCATTCATCCATGCTTTGAATATTGCTGCCACATCTGCTCTATATTAAAGATTCTTGGTAAAATACAAAGAATATGCAATATTATTGGTCCTGACTTGTCATTTGCCCACCAATGTAACTTAGCTTTCTTGTGTCTTTTCTATAAATATTTTCATGGTATTGTTCTGATGAGCTTTCCTCTTTGGTACCTAGTTGAAATGGCTAGATGTAACTGTAAGTTCTATGCTAACAGTTTCTTCTCTCACACTTCTTGCTTGTTGAACTCTCTTCTGGCTTCTTGCTTTCCAAGCAACTTTTATCTTCAAAAATTTAAATGCAATGTCAATCATTATCTTCTGTCTTCTTAATTTCTGTTCTTTTATTGTTATCTCTCCTTAACAATGTTTTCTTTGTCTCATGTTCTTTTGTATTCTGTTTCCCCCCCCCCATGTGTCTTAGGGGCTTTATTGCCTTACTTCAGTTAAAAAAAATCTTGTCTTTTATGTTTACAGATAAAAATGTCAACAGATTCTTCAGCCACTGAACTTGAATACCAGCAAATTGTGGCTGAGCTTGAAGAAGAATTCAAATATCGTTTCACAGATGAAGATGAAGAATATAAAGCCACAACATCCCAATCTACACCTCCACCTCCAGCCATAATACCATGGGCTGTACGGCCAAAGAGGAATTATGATTGGTCAAGGTATGTCTATATACTTAATACAATTTTCAGTTTATATTTTCTGCCATATGATTAAACCTTAACTGCTGTCAAACACCTCAGACAATAGAACTATTTTTATCAGTATCAGTGGCAAAAAAAACTCAACCTTATAAAATAGCAAATCTAAAGGCTGAAAATTTGTCAAATTCAGCTCTGTCTGTTAAAAGACCCTTTTTTAACAAAGTCTTTAATGAGTATATAATCAATTCTGCATGTTTTGTATTGTACAACAGTAAATATTCATCATTAATATACATTTATATAAAATGTATACCATTAAATATTTCCATGGTTTACAAAAAAAATCTCCACTACAGTTTTGTCAAATTTTTTATGTAACTCAATATACTAAAGATTACACAAATATGTTCCAACTTAAATTCAGTTTTGTCAAATTATTGTTAACTGAGTCATATATTGTATATACTAAAGATTATTCTGTACCTCCACATCAGTCTGTATTTATGGCTGACACCAGCCAATCATATTACTGTGAGGGGAACCCAGGTGTATGCATATTCATTATATTCATTACATCTCCCCTGAGCTAAATTTTCCCGTGAAATTTAGCTTCAATATTTATTTTCTTTTTAGGGTCTGGACTTAATCGATTGACTTAATCGATTTTTTTTTCCTAAGTCTTTTTTCGCCTCAATCCTCCTTGCAGTGGTGGTGTTTGACACACTGGTACCTCTGGCCTTCTCCATTGGCGAATGTTGACTTACTGGAATGGGAATTTCAAATGCATCATACAGGACTTCCATTGGAATCTCTTCGGTATTTTCCGTGACCTCTGTAGTATGTCTGGGTCTCAATTGATTCCAATGTCTTTTGCACCAAAATTTTTCCCCTTTTATGTCATATATGACCTGTCCAATTCTTTTGTTTATCATTCCTTCTTCCCAATACATTTTTCCAGCCCTAAAGTTCTTGAAAAAAACTTTGTCACCTGGCTTATACGCTTTAGTCATCTGGTTTTCTTTTTTAGCAGTTTTCTTCGCCGGACTAGGCAACAGCCTGTCGAACACAGAGCGTATTTTTCTCGCAAACATTAACTCTGCTGGCGATAACCCTGACGTCGTATTCGGGTTTGGCGTGATTCTATATACTGCCAAAAATTTGATTTTTCTTCAACGCTCGTTTAAAGGTGTCCACGAATTTTTCCGCCTGTCCATTCGATCTTGGATGATATACTGGCGTTGTCACGTGATCAATGGACAATGATCTACAGAATTCCTTGAATTCTCTTCCCGTAAACTGCGTTCCGTTGTCGCTGACTAAAGTTTTAGGGAGTCCAAAAGCGACTAAAAAATTTCATTAAGTGCGTTTATTGTATTTGTTGCAGTCGGATGTCTGCACTTAACAATTTCTGGCCACTTAGTGAAACTGTCCACAATGATCAGGTAATAAGATCCATTTATCGGCCCTGCATAGTCGATATGCAATCGAGTCCATGGGACATCTGTCTTTGGCCATGGTTGAATCTTTACCGGTGGATCCCTTGCTGCCAGTTGACATCCTCTGCACTGTTTCACCAAATTTTCTATGTCTTGGTCCATCCTCGGCCAATAAGTATAGCCTCTCATTAGAGATTTCATTCTCGAAATCCCTGGATGGCCAGTGTGAAATTCTTTCAGAATTTTCTTTTGCAGAGTAACCGGCATTACAACTCTATCTGCGTATAGTAATACCTGTTCGCAGATTGAAAAAGGTGACACACTAATTCATTTTTTAGTTTTCTCGTTCAACCAGATTTGCCTTTTCATTTTTTTTAATGAAATCATCGTTCACTGCTGTTTTGTTTCACATCTAGCGTAACCGGTTTTTCTCTAATAAGTGTTGCATAACAGACCCGACAATTCACTTTCGTCTCTTAGCGCCGCTATTACTGTTTCTTCCAGTGGTTCCGTATATTTAGGTATCAATCTTGATAACTCATCGGTGTGACCTAGCTTCTTTGAAGGCACATATTCTATTTTGAAATTATAATTCAATAGAATTACACTCCAACGCTGTAGTCGATTTGCCGTGTCAGTTGGTATACCTTTTTTTTTTTTGAACCAAATATTGTTAACAGCGGTTTGTGGTCTGTTTGCAGAATAAATTCTCTTCCGTATAGAAACCTGAAATTTTTTTTTTTTACAGCGTAGATTATTGCTAAACTCTCTTTTTCGATTTGACTGTAACTTCGTTCCGCGGGCAGTAACGTTCTCGAGGCATGTGCTATTGGCTTCGTAGATCCGTCCTCGAATTTATGAAGCAATACGCACCTAGTCCCTCATTACTGGCATCTGGCATCTGCTGCTACAATGATTTTCCTCTTCGGGTCGAAATGCGCTAACGATAGGTCTGCTAATAGACAGCTTTTTTTTTTAAAAGCCTGTTCGCATTCTTTTTCGACCATATCCACTTTGTGCCCTTTTTCCCCAAATTATTTAAATGAGCTCTCATATCATACATTTTGGGGATATAAATGCTATAGTAACTTACTAATCCGAAGATGGCCTCGAGTTTAGCCACATTATCAGGTGCTGGCATATTTTTTATAGCCTCAGCCCTTTTTGGCTCCGGTTGTCTTCCTTTACTCTCAATGATCTGCCCTCAATATTTTATCTTCTTTAAGAACTCACATTTTTCAGCACTCAGCTTGAAACCCGTATTCCTCAATTCTCTGAAATACCGCTCTAATATGCGTTTTGTGTTGGGCCTCGTTTTTTTTTTTAATCAAAATATCTAAATATGCGATTGCATACTCCATACCAGCCAACATTGTGTCCATTATTTGCTGGAATAGGCTTGGAGCTACCTTCAATCCAAAAGGAAGACGATTTAGTTTAAAAATCCCTTTATGCGTGTTTATTGTCAGGTACTTCGAACATTCTTCACTGACTTTAACCTGAAGGTAAGCCTCCAACAAGTCCAACTTTGAAAACACTCTACCTCCGTTTAATTTAGTGAATATATCCTCCGGAGACGGTAGAGGGTACGCATGGTCTTTCACACAATCATTTAAGCCTGTCGAAAAGTCAGCACACACTCTGATTTTTTAGTTTTTCTTTTTTATATATATGGTTGGAGACGCCCAATCTGAGTAATCGACTTTTGAAATTACGCCAATTTTCTCCAACCTTTCTAATTCCTCATTTATTGTGTCTAGTGCCGAAAATGCTACTTTTCTCTTTGGTTTAAAGATTGGTTTAACATTTTCTTACAATTTGAAGTTGACTTCTTTGTTTTTGTGCACAGACCTAGTCCTTCTGAAAAGAAAAGATTTTCGAGGGAATTCGCTTTTCAAATCCGTAATAAATCTTTCTGTTTGCTTTGTCTTATAGTTCTCTATGACGTTAACTTTGTTACAGAAAGAAGTTACTGGTAATTCCCATAAATTAAACAATACGATCCAGTCTAAACCAATGAGGTTTACTGAACCAGGGAGCACATACACTTTTGATTTGTGAATTTTTTCCATGAACGCAATGTTACATCTTAATTCACTTCTAAACTTAAGTCTTTTTCCTGACACTCCCCTGGCAATTTTGTCTGTGTTAGTCAACGGTGGGTAACCGTTTTTTTTCCATGTTTGCTTGTTTATTACCGAGATATCACTTCCTGAATCGAGTAATAATTTTACGGTCTGCCCATTGAGGTATTTTCTTCTTTGACCCTCCTCAATTTCGTTTTTAAGCAAAACAACATTCACCTTTGTTTGAGACTTTGCTTTTACTTTTCTCTGTTTTGCCCCGCAATGGGAACTTCTATGGCCTACACGCCCACAATTAAAACATATTTTATCCCTAAAGAAACAATACTTCTTTATATGCTGTCCTCCACATGAACTGCATATAATTTTTCTTTCTGTATCCCCTTCTGTTGTCTTACAGTTTGTACTCGCGAAATGCTCTTCTCCTCAATCCGAGTAATTTATTTTTTTATGTTTAAAAGTCGCTGACATTCTTCCGTTATTTTTCATAGTGTAATCTTCGTATCATGTTCCATGATAGTGAGGATTCTTGATCTAATTTCTTTGTCCTTCGGTGTCGTTAGACCCTGCACAAAAATTAGACACTTGAACATATCGCTTGACAATTCATTTAATTTAAACGCCTCACACTGTGCGTTAACCATACCTGCGTATGTAACAAAATCATCATCATCATCTTGTTTAACGATATTTAGACGCTTGTATTGAATATGAAACAGACTATCTCTTTCATCAAAAATTTTCGAGAAAATTTCTACTGTTTCACTGAATGTAATTTCTTCTGGCTTCTTTGGGAGGATTAAATTCGCGTATTTTGTATTTTCTTCTGTTCCCAACTTCTGCAACAATAGAGTGATTTTTTCCTCGTCGGACCATTGTTCGCATCTTTTCGTAAATATTGTTTCAAACCTACGAAAATAAGCCGGAAACGTTGAACCACTGTCAGGGTCGTATTTAAATTCAGAGAGTGAATTTGAAATTCCTTCAGCAGAAAAAAATCTAGAACCCGGTTCTTTTGTTGTCCTAGATAATACGTCTTCCCAAAGTGATTTATTGTCTTTTGCCTGTTGTTTGAATAACTTTTCAAACCTTTCTTGTTGCTGAATAAAATTGTTGTTGTTGTTGGAATTGTTGCTGTAAAGTGACTTGTAGCACCTTAGTTAATTCCGCAATTTGTTCCATTCTGCCAACGTATCCACAAGAAAAAATTTTGCTCCAATTTATGTAGACAATAAAATTTTCTAAGTCCAAACAAGAGGGGGGGGCAATTTCTTACTTTCTGTAAGTGTTGCACAAGTTTTTCCTTTTCTAATGTTCCTCGTTAATAAGCGTTAAAACAAAATGAGGGAAAAATTACTTACTTTCTGTAAGCGTCAAACAAGTCTTTCTAACGTTCTTCATTAGTGTTGTCAACTGTATATTTTTTTTTTCTTTTGTTTTAACTTGTGAGGTCGTTTCGAATCTCATCGCCAACTGATATGTCCCGGAAAAGGATATATTTGTTCGAAGTAGCAAAGTGGTTCTTGACTACCGTAACCAGGTAGGACAATCTAGCAGGTAACCGTAATGGACTGGTCCTCGTCGTAGTGGTAGGCAATAGGTGGTAGGCAATAGGTGAAGACAATAGGCGTCGTCCTGTACCTCCACATCAGTCTGTATTTATGGCTGACACCAGCCAATCATATTATAGAGATGCCTCAGTTGCACCCAATAATTTGTTACTAATATTGATTTTTTTTTTTGACTTTAAACTTAAAATACTCCAATTGAACAAAAAAATTTTTTTAATGAAAGACCCAGTCAAAGACGGGTTGTACCATAATTTCTTGATATAATAGTATAAGTTTCATAATCATGAAGTATTGAACATAAACAAGAAAATGCATCACAATATGAATTTTATTTATATCTATCTGGTTGATTTCATCTCCATTCTGATTAGATCCTTTTTGCTTCTTGTAGATTCTCCCCAGAATCTTCAGCCTAAGTCTTCCTCCTCTTTCTCCATAGTAACAATATGTTTTCTTGCATTTAGCTTTCTCCTTTTCCATTTCAGGTTCCATTGATCTCTGCCACATTTCAATCCTTGTTTGGGTCTTCTTAACATGAATTATATTTAATACATCAAAAACTTGATCAATTTAATACATCAAAAACTTGATCTGAATTTTCTCATTTGCAAAATTATTTCTTTACTTGTGAAATTCTCTGTTTTAATACTAACCTTTTAAACAGAATTGTTTTTTGGTTGGGTGACAAGTACTTAGTATTTTAATTTCAACCATTAGAAAAATAAGTACAAAACAGAAAACAAAGGTGATAACTTTTTATAGAGAATTGTAATTGTCTTTAACTATTAAGAAGAGTCCTTAACATATCCAACATTGTTTGAAATGCTGGAAGTTTGCAGAGCCTAGTTATTTGTGACTGAAAAATACCAAAAATCTGGGCGGTTTCACACATACAAAACTCTGTTATATAAAAAAAAAAAAAAAAAAAAAAAAAGGAATACTGGAAAATAAAATTTTTGTCAATCAAAAAAATTGACACAATGGGACTTTTGATGTTAGCTGAAACCAAAGTTCATGCCAGAGTCTCAGAGCCTGGTCAAAACAGATATAAGCTGACACCTCTGGGCTAGAAGCAGAAGAGATGGCAAGAGTGACACATAGAGACATTAACCCAGAGAAACCATCTGTGGGTAATGTATGAAGAAGTAGTTAAGCGATCATATGCTAATGACATTTCTGCCCTGCTTAGGGCTGAGAAAAATGCAATAGATTGACACTGACCTATTTCTAACATTACTACTATCCCTATCATAGTCTGACTTCAAATATTACCACTAATGAACATTTCTCCAGACTGCTAGCAATACCTGCTTTATTAACAAACTTTTTGCTACATTGAATAACAAAGGACTCACTTATCACTCTAAAGAAAATAAATAAAAATATATTATTTATTTTATACCCTTCATTGCAGTTTGTTTTATTTCCGAAGTTCCAATAAACATCACCAAGAATACCAACACCACCTAAACACAATGTTAACAAATTGGTTAATCTTAATCACTCTGTGAATTTATCAGCTGTCCAAAAAGTTTATCCTGCCACTGACAGTGATTATGATCCCTGAACAATAGTGTGTTTGAATTTCATAGTTGTGTTGTCATATCCTACTATGGCAACAGAAAACAACTTTGAGTGAAATTAACAGTAAGGATACTGCAATTGAGAAGCCTTGAAAAGGAATGCAGTGGAAAGAGAATTAATATTAATAATGCAGAGTGCTAAAAGTTAATGGCAAATAAAAGCAAATATATTGTCAACTGAATATATTTGATTATGAAAAATTTGTCAGAGTTAACCTGTAGAAAAAAAGACAATATTTATAAATGTAAAAAGACAATAGGAAAACTGTTTAGTTGCTGAACATTTCATCAATGTGGACTTTTCAAATACTGTTAAAAAAAAATTAAACACATTTATTAAACAATGTAACTTTCAATAACAAAAACAAAATGTCCTTAGCAACTGGAAAATTTCCAGTTGCTATTTTCATTTTGTTTTAACTGAAAATTACAATTCTCACACACAATAGTAATTGATTTGATTTTCAGTTAACAGTTGAAAAAAGTCTCATTCTTCCATCAAAGGACAAAATGAAAAATTACTTTTCAATAAATTCATTTGGTTTTTGAAAAAAACAATCTATTACCTTTTTTCCTATTGTCTTTTTACATTTATGAATATTTGATTATGTTTTTTGTGTCATGTGGGTGAAAATAAGACAAACCACCATAAAAACAATGTTTGTAAAATTTTTGTAATTTCACATGTATGAATAATCTTTTTTTTTTTTTTTCCCCCTTTTCCTTTATAGTAATAATCGTGGAGAACACTGGAACAAACACAGACAAAGAAATTATCATGATGACTACCGCCACTCACGCCGGAGTGGTGGAGGTGGCGGTGGCTACCAGAATCAAAGAGGTTACTACCAAGATGATCGTTATGGTGGACACTCTGGACACAGCAGACATTATCGTGGTAGTCATTCCTCGTCTTTCTACCCAGGTCAACGTGAAAGCTACAGACACCATCAATACAGGAAGAACTAAATTATTCATTATTCTAGTATTTGGATCTGTCCAGTTATTTTTCTTCTCAATTTTTTTTTTTTTTTTTTTTTTTTTTTTTTTGTCATGTGAGAATGTTATAAAGAATACATCACTCATGCAAAATCCACAGATTTGGAGAAAAAAAACTGACAAAATATGAATCTTGTTCATAATAAAATAATACTTCAATTGTAATTTATCTTTTTTCATTCATTTTCTTGAAGACCTTAAGGGTTCTGAATTCACATTGATGTTGTCTTATCCTTCTTTATTAAACCCATTTTTGGTATCTTGTCAAATTCCTTGGAATCATTTTGTGCTGGGTGGCTAACAGAGAAAGAAATAATTTGAAAACATTTTCAACTTTGTTTCTTTTGTGAATGTTACCCAAAATGCTGATTCACAAGCAGAACCATTTCAAATTATGGAAAATTGACAAAATTCCTCTTTACATTATTCAGACTATTGTCCTCATCTTTGTCGCCATATTTATTCCAACGTTTCAGCCGTTGTACACTCTGGCCTTCTTCAAGTGGTTGGAATGTCGAACCGAACCCTTTGTTTCGCTCACTGGGGTAGACTGTTCTAGTTCCACATGCCATGTTTAATGGATGTCAGTTATCAGTTAATTAACCTCTCCAAGTTCTCCACTACCTTAAACAGGTATTGAACTCACACTCTTTGGGTCCTGTCACTGGATCTAACCAACGCCTTTATTAATGATGTCATATATTATGATAGAGTAGACATGAGTCAGGTTATGGCGGTTTGAACATTGAGAGCCAATGTTTATGGGGTCCTTGAAGACACATGGCACAGTGGATAAAGAAATTCATACACAGATGTCTCTGAGGATTTGGGAGGTAAGCTAGACAGAGAAATCAAGACCAAATGTCAGGAAGTAAACAGTTACCAACTTGCTCCTCTTCTAAAACATCCTAGCATTTCTATGAGCACCAAGGTAAATCTCATCAACGCCATTTTCCTATCAACTCTGACATACCAGTGCCAGACATGGCCCCTAACAAAAGCCCTTGAGAGGAAACTGATCACTTGTGAGATGAAATGCCTGAGGAAAGCAGTGAACAAGACCAGACGAGACAAGATCAGGAAGAAGGCAATAAGAGATATGGTAGGAGCAATACCAATCATACAACACATCGAAGGACAGAGAAGTGGTTTGGACACCAACCAGCCCTATGAGTATACACCCTCAGGTACTCTGGCTGGAAAGCCAGACCAAGAAGATGCTGGAACAACTCGGTGGCAAGCGCTCTTAGAGCCCACGAGATATCTCTTCTCCAGGCCACTCGCCTTGCTGCTGACAGACCACTTGTCTCCTTTTGATGCCTAACAGCACAAGCAGAAGGAAAAATTTAACTCTTAATTAAAAATATTACTGTTTATTGTTTTTCAGGATTTTTGAGTCCATAATCATTTTCCTCTTCCATTCTTATTTTTTATTTTATTATTACTGTTGACCCTTTTTATTTTCTGATTTTCTAATTCTTCTCTTCCTTATTTTCTTAGCACTAAATAAGTTTTTAGCTATTTGTGAACTTATACAGAATTTTGACATCTTTTATTCACAATCACCATACAACTGTCAATGGCTTTAGTTTTGACTTCACTGTTTGCAAAAGGAATTGATCTTAATCTCTTCACTATATAAGTATATTTTTATTTAAGTGGCTTTCCTGATCATTATTTATTTTCTGGTAGAATCTCTCACCTTTTAATGTTTTAGATTTACTTTCATGCATGCAAAGATTACCACTTATAATCCCTTTACTGTCAAGGATAATTTTTAAAATGGCTTTCCTAGTCAATATTATTTTTTTGGTAATTTCTCTTGTCACTCGATGTTTTGAGTTTAATTTCATACTGGCATACAGGGCGACTGGGTGTATAAGATGACCCCCAAATATTTGAGTTAAAATGTAGGTTTTGGTCTATAGTTATCATACAAGACAGTCCCCCCCCCAACCACCATTATATTTTAAAATATACTTGAATAAGCATTTTGACAATGTTCATGCACCATGCATGATTTTCAAGTAGAGGCTAATGTGTAGTGTCTGATATTAATGCACATTTAGTCCTTGGAATGCTTCTCAATACATCTTTTTTTCTCTCCAGTCTCAAATCAACTTTTCTGTTATGCCATAATGTCTTGCAACAGTGCAGTCATTATGTTCCTTGGCAAAGTTTACTGCTTTCAACTTAAAACAGGCTTCATATCACCTTCTTTTACCAGTAGATGATGGGGTTTTGTGATAACTAGATTCTAATAAGGTTACCTTGGATAATGTTTGCAACAAAGTGAGAACTCATGCTGACAATAATTGGCTAGTATGATAAACTATGATTACTAGATTACTTGAAATATTACCATAAACATCTTTTTTTCCTGAAGCCCTTTGAACATGCCCAAGCCAAGCAGTTGCTTCGTCCATGGAGAGCAGGTTCCTTGGTAAAACAGCTTTCAAATCTTTGTGAATTTAGGAAATCTAAATTTCTTTTATTTCTTCTAAATGCAAAGGAACCAGAGCTAAAATGAGAGGTTTCGTTGCATGAGCTTTTAAAATTCCACAAAGTTTTTGATTTGAAAAACTCAATTTTTGGCCCAAATTGGAATTTCAGCCTAAATTGGTCTTTTGATCAGAATTTGACTTATAGTCTAAATCAGAGTTAAAATGAGGATTTGAAGTTCCATGGAGTGAATTGAAGAATTCAAAGTTATTTCTTCAAAATTGTAATATATACTGCTATTTTGTAATTTGGACTAGAGGTCCCATTTTTTCTGGGCCAGAGGCCCAATTAGCCCTCTGTAGGAGCTAGCTTAAAAGTCCACACAGGGTGCACCTTTTAAGCTTATGTTTAATTAAATCAACATTAGTGTATTAAAATATTTTAATAATTTAAATATGTATAAAGTATTTTAAAACAGATGCATGTATAAGGAACAAAGGTTTTATAACACCAAAGTAAATATGCAAATTTCCTGTTTACACAACAAAAATTTGTCATCCCAAAAGAATATCACACTACTTGTCCATTGCATTAAAATGGCAAATTGGACTTATGACATTTATAACTTTGATTAGTTTAAGATGACAACTGATTTTTAATACATGTTATATTATGCGACACATTCATCTCTCTTTCCTTGGCTCTTCTCTTCCTCCCTTTGTCTCCCTCTGCAATCGATGAAACTTCTCTACCCCTCCCCTGTTTCCATCTGAGTTTTAGTTTCTGGCTCTCACTTTCTAACAGACATTTTATTCAATGGAGATTGAGGGACACAAAACACAAACACACCTTTTTCAGTATACAAAATACAGGCTTGGTACTAAGCCATGTAGATGTTATTGTACCATTTGTATTGGAATTCCCTTATATTTTGAACAAACTATTTGTACTGACCCCAAATGGGAAAATCAAAAATGTTATTTATCATGCAGCTTTGCAATAAGTTCCAAATAGACAAATTATATCATTGTTTTGATGAAAATGGTTGTTTGAAAAATATTGTTCAAGTTTAATAAAATTTAATATGTACTCGATGCATGAAATTGTCATTGTTGGGCAAAAGGCCCAATCAGGAGTCCTCTACAGGAACCCTCCTCAGGAGCCCTCCACAGCAGCTTGATTAAATGCTGTCTGATAGAGTGACTTAAAATTTTCTGTATTTATTGATTACAGAGTTTATTTATGAAAAGGTTGTCTTCTAGAAATAAAATTGAAATATTTTTTATAGAAGTACCGCTGCCAACTTTATTTAATTTTATTACATTTTTAGAAATTTGAATCGAATGCAAAAGGTGTTCACATTTTTTAAAAATTGTATAAGATCAAGTTTATTGTTTACTTTCTGTGCTTATTTTATACTTTCAGTATATATTAAGCCTGTTTAGAAAATTCAGAAATCTGATTTAAGATTTCTGGACAAATAGTCTGGCAGCTATGGAATTTAAAGGTAATATATCGGTGCATTGTAAGGTGTGTGTTTGTGTTCACATATGAACAATTAAAAAGAAGCATACAAAAACTTGGGTTTCTAGTACAGATTGTTTATTCTCTTTTTTTTTTTTTTTATATATATATATATATATATATAAACTCTAGTGAAACAAAGTTCTCAATGTCTCTTGGGTATGTCCATTTTCTTTTTGGTCCAGGAGTTAGGGTATGTAAGTATAAATATTGCTGTAATGGTCATGCTCAAGTCAGCCTTGCACGGAGTTGGAATGACCAAAGGAAAGGTCGATTTACGTTATAGGTGGAGGTTTTGGAAGACACATGCTAACGTTGTGCTTAGTAAGTAGAGAGTTCAGTCATCAGTGAACTGGGGAAATTAATGTCTCAGCAGGGACGTTCTTTTCCTACTTCTGCTAAATCTTGGAGCAAGAGGGAGAAAGAGAAAAAGGAAGGAAATATTTGTCTTTTTATCAACATAAACAGCACCACCTACTTAGCGTTTGACAAAGCCAAATAGGAATAATCAAATTTCCATTTCTTTTGCTTTAGCGTCATGGGAAAATGTATTTTTTCTTTTTTATTATTCATTATTATTATTTTATTTATTTAATTTTCCACATATTATCTGCTAATATTTATTTAATATTAATATTCTTATTGTGTTCATTGATATGCATATGAATAGCACTAAGTTTCAATAAATGGAAAGTTTACTTACGAGATAGTGTGGTAGTTGTGTGACCAATGTAAGATTTCTGATCATTAGCGATGGAAAATGTAATTCCCCAAAGGGCATAAAAATGCATAAACATTGGTGATTTCTGTGTTATTGTTAATGATTATGTTTTAAATACCAGAGAATTTATCACAATTATTAAGTAATGATATTTTTAACGTTTTTTTTTTTTTCATTTGGTTACATAAGAATAAATGAATGTTTTTATTAGTGTTTATATGACATTGATATCTTTATTGTTCCTGATAATGACTCAAGATGATTGAAACATTTCAAACATTAT